CGGATGGAGTCGCGGATGGGGACACTGATGACGGCGCCCCAGACGCAATCCGAGAGACTGCTTCTCTGAAAAGCTTCGCGGTGAATGGCGAAGGCTGGAGAAAGGCTGGAAGGTGGGCGGCAGCCCAGAGCGGGCGCGTGGTTGTAGACTCCCAGTCGATGATGCAAGTCTGGTCTGTAGTCAGTGCATGGTCATATATGCGCATGCTCAGTGCTCACCACTTCGCAGGGATCATTTTCGTTGACAAACACATTCTCCAGACTCAGATCATGTGCATCAAGAGCAAAGTTCTCCGTCCCACCGTCCTTACCGGCCCATTCATCCACCAATCGGCCCATGACGCTCTCCCACCTCCCCATCTCGTTCCGCACAGCATCTTCACGCGCCTGCATGTGCTTCACGAGGAACGGCCCCCTCGCCTGCCTCCGGTAATCGCGATACATGGCATCGCCGGGGCCCTCACACTCGTCCTCGCTCTCCTCAAGCCCCCACTCGTCCGAGTCGTCAGACTCGTCGCCCGGCACAGCCCGCACCGCATGATGCCGCGACGCGAGAATCTCTGCAGGGTCGAGATGCAGCCGATGCCCCGGCGCAGTCCCTGCGTTCTCGCGCTGCACGCCGAGAATCTCGCGCTGTGCGCAGGCCGCGATGTAGCTCGGGGTCGTGGGGAACGGGCCGCGCGGCACGTCCGACGCCGGCAGATCCCCGCGGTGGTTCCCAAAGAACGGCCACGAGATGATCGGTCCTACGTGGAATACGGCCGTCTTCGCCGCGGGTGGCACGAGAGGCGTTAGTGTCGGGGTGAACGGGAATGCCGTGTACGGGTCGATCGTCGCCCGGGGTGTCGTCGCGGATAGCACCGACGACGCACGTGTCAGCGTGGGCGTGGCGTCATTGGTGCCCACTGGTGCATGCGGATCAGGCCCAAAATACAATGACCCGATACGCGGAAATCGATGTCCGAATAGTGGAATGAGCAGCTTGGCTAGATTTTCCACTAGCCTCGACAACTGCACGTAACTGAGGGAGTGAAAGACTTGTGACAGCGGGATGCCTTCAGCCTGTGTCGCATATGAGCACGCGCATCATCGTGCAAGGGGAGCGAAAGATAGATTAGATACCTTGCTCATGACAATCCATTCGCCGCCCAAACGATTGTACGGGTTTGAGTCGTAGCAAAATACCTCCGGCACAGGCACGTTCGTGTTCTCCCTTAGATACCGCAAGGTCGCGATCTCCGACTCCGTCTTCAGCCGCGGCATGAACCGGCGTGCGACGCGCGCGATGATCTGCCGCCCAGTGGTCAGTGTGATTAGGTAGGCCTGCGGAGAAAGAGTGATTGAGTATGTGCTTGACGCCAATCTGTGGAGCGCCCTCCACCGCGGGACGGACCTTGTGAAACGTGCCAGCACTGAGGAATACGATCCGCGCGACGGGCACGCGCATGTGCTCCAGCACGACGTCCTTGAGCACCCGCCGATCAACCTCGAACGGCGTCGCACCGTGTAGCGCCGCGTCAGCCTGCCTTTCGAGTTTGCGGTCCGCGTGCTCGATGTCCCAGTCCCATTCCAGCGGCGGGGGCAAGGATGGGGTCTCGGTGTTGTCGTTGGTGGTGGTTGTGGTGTTGTCATTGTTGTTAGTATCGTGAGTCGTGGGGTTCGTGCGGGGGTCTCCGTCGACTGCCATTCGTGCGCGTGTGCGTAAGCCGATTCGTGCGCTTCTTTCTCGTGCGCTTCCGATTCCTATCCTGTAGCGGCTACGACGGCGTATTCTGCGTCTAGAAGCTATGGTGTACATGAGCGGCAGGACGCGAGTAGGAGCAGCACAGGCGTATGGCGTACCCTTCGTTCTGTCTCTTATGTGGGATGAGGAAGCAGCAGAGTCGAAGTTCCTCGTTCTAAGTCCGCAGTGCCCGGCCGAGCCGACCTTGTTGTTCTGTCTTCCTTGCCTTCCTTCCGTGTCTATCCACTCCGTGTCCAAGCCGTATCCAAACCCAAGGTGCTTATCCCTGATCGGCGCAGATTCGGATATGCGGCGGCGCTATGAATTTGATGTGTTTTTTCCCTCGCTGTTCCCCGGTGCTGGTGATGGTGGATATTCTCCGCTCGGGGCGTATGAGTGTATGGGTATGGGTATGGCTCGATGGTGAGGAGATGGGATAGGATGGGATGGGGTAGAGGATGGTCCGGAGCCGATCCTGCCGTTACGTACTATGAATGAATAGAATCGAATCAGCTGTCAATCAACCGACTGTGGGTCATGCTTGGCTGCGCCCTCTCACATGCGAGGCAACCGTCACCCGGCCAAGTGTTATCATCCAGCGGCGTGAGTCGCCAAGATTCTTCCAGTGAACTCACACCCACAATACTCTTTGCACAATTCCACTCTGTCGCGAAATCCGTGCGGCGAATCGAGGGCACGTGGCTGACGAAATCTCCAACCTTCGTCGAATAGAATTCCAGGCCTACGTATCTTATGCCGAGAAACCACGGCAAAGAAGTCCATGCATGCCGCAAGCACACAGCTATGACTGATCTTGGCTGGATACCAGTTCTACCGTTGCCGATCATAACCGACCCTCCGTCGACTGCTTCTGTGTCACCTGCGTCCCATAAACTCAAGTTGACAAACTAGCGGTTGGTACGGTGCCCGTCACAGAGCGACTCGCTGATACTTACCGTAGAAGCTGAGCTTCATCCAATTTATGGCATCTTACTTCTCCGCAGAGATTCGGTCCTCTTGGCGTTGCAGTGAAGCTCACTTGATTATCCAACACTCTGATCGATACACGACTATGAGTCCTGTATATGACGAATACCGCTATGACGCGCAGCTGGCGGACAGCACAATCCGGGCCGCGGCGGGTGAGCCCGGATATCGCCGAATCGTCGAGTCTCTTCAGGCCTCGAGGACACTTCACCTCAGCAAGGATAACCTTTTATCCTAACGGGCTCCATGCAAAATCTCGGGGCTCAGCTTGTGCCCGTTGACAAAATCGGGCAATTCGACATCTCCGAGGACAGCCACCAGATAATCAACTATCGTGGGTTGATCCGCGTCGCACAGCATTCAACCCTGCTTCCGTCTGTGGCTCGGAGCCGTGGATGAACCTGCACGCTCACGGTCAACTCAACATGCAGCCCCTGGTCGAAAAAGTTCTGCTCTCGAAGAAGGGCTGGACAGCGCATAGACGGCACGAGCCACAGCTCGGACGGCTGCCAACGCTCTTCTCATCCGACTTCCGTCCGAATCCTGCGGACGACAGTCGGACAGTCGCTCGGAGTCGGCTGTCAACTGCAGCGTGATTAGATCTCTGCGCGAGCCGGTGCACGGAACAAAGCGCTCGGTCTATACCCAAACGGGATGGAGGAACACGACATCCGTCAAACTCTCATCCTCCATCGCGAAGCCAAGCAAACCCCGGGTGGCGTGCATCATCCGACATCGGCGACCACCTCCGCGGACCGAGGCACCTCGTCAAATTTTCTTATGAAGTCCGCGACCCGGTCCGGGCCGCCACCTAGCATCGACTGACCGTATTTGCTTCAGGCTGCTCAATCACCGGGCACCAGCGTGGTATCAATTAATCTTATTTCAACCACGGAATGGCTCTTCGAACATCGGTCGGACGCACCAGTGTTGCAAAAGACGACTCGTCAACTTTTCAAATCATTCTTCCTCCTCAAAAACTGTTCTGAGCAGTTTGGAATTGAACAAAGACGAATTGTGACTGCATGAGAATTTATTCCATAGTGATCGCCACTGACTTGTCAACTTGAATGAAGCCGACTTTGCAGAGCTAGTATCTTGCGAAGAGCTTTGAATTGCGTTCAATATCCCTATCCATGCTCACATTATCGGCCCAAATTCATGATAGTCTTTTTGGGCATGTTTGATCTGGTAGCACAGTCCCTCGGAATGGCTATTCCATACACACGTTCGTAGATGGGCCGTGCTAATGAACAGTAACGCTCTTCATCGAGCTCTTGCAATATTCATTGGTTCGCTCGAGAGTTGTTCTCCTTTGGCTTCTGGTCTCAATGTGTAGACAAGATGCCGTGTTTGAGTTTGGAGCTGCTCAACAACCACTGAGGAATCACGCAGACGCTGGAACCCATGAGATATGCCTCCATCCCGCACTGCTTGTCGGTCACGAATCTCTTGGCACCAAGTGACCCGGAGCGTCGTTCCGTGAATGTCCAGTCATCTCGCGATAGTATATCTACACCTTTGAACATTTCCCAATCGCTGAACTTGGAGTGCAATCATTCATTCTCTGGACTCATTAATTTTCCAAATGCAAGACCCAGATTGAGCTGCGTTAAGGATGGAGGAGGTTGGTCTCTCATCCAACTCTTCATTTCGGGTGAAGGATGCAATATAATCTATAGCCGTCCAGTTTATATATGAGCCGTCATGTTCATCTTTCATGGGCAGTCACAGCCGAATCTTTTAAAAGGCATGTGAAAGCTTACGCGTCACTGATCCTGTGGGTCTAGAACTTGAGCACTGGTCAAATTCCGACAGATTGGCAAGGCTGCAAATTAAGGCTGGAATGTGGAACGAGAATCCAGGGTCTAGGATCCAGAGGATGTATGACCACTGTCAGCACGCGCTTCAGACATTGAACGCACATTGACAAGCGTCGGTCGAACGACCCTGAGCGAAATCGCTCATTGTGGTGTACGAATGGAGACAATGCGCGCTTCCTTTCGCTAGGGTCGAGAGGATGGGCGATGAGGAGAGGTATGAACGAATAGTGCGTCAGCCGATAGGCCGGCTCATGGGCAGTAGGTTGCCCGATTGTCTTGCACTTGTTACAAAATAGCCTACGCAGCCCACCAATGTAAAGCGAGATCGACAACAGGAATCCTAAATGGGGATCGCGAAACCCGCGCGAGGCATTTGGGCGGATTTCTTGATCACGCATATAAGCCAAGTTGGACACTCAGGATGAAGGACGACGTAGACTCAAGACCAGAGGTGCGAGCTATCAGGAACCGAGATGAAGGCAGGGATGCTATCGCGTGATGAAAGTAGAGACAAGGGCCGCCGAGGGTTCACACTAAAACAGATGAGACAGACCTCGTGAGCAGCGGATGCAGACCCGATTCCAGAGAAGGATACGGAGAAGCCATCCATTGCAATCGCAGCCAAACCGCCTGCACGCGCTCAAGACACCTCATACCGACTAACGAGTGTCTCCCTCCCATTGGCCCGGACTGACCTGCGTCCCACATCTCTGGCAAGCGGTTTCCGCATGTCTACGTCGTTGCCCAATCAACACGGGGTCGGACTCTAGAGAGCTCGGCACTCACCAAACGCATCCTCCTCATCCCGGCCGCGATTCCCGCCGAGGCTGTCGTAGTACTCCCGCACGCGCCGATACACGCTGTACCCCAGGCCCTCGTACATCGGGATCGCCACGTCGTTCGTGCACCGGACGTACAGGTCGACGAAGTAGCCCCGGTATGTATCGTTCGACACCTGCTCCAGCAGCGCAATGAGCTTACTCGCGAGCCCGAGCCGGCGGTATTCCGGCGCGACCGTGAGCACCGTGATGTGCCCGTGCCATTCTGTGCTGTGGCCTTCTGCTTTTCCGAGGACTGACGGGCGTGTGATCGATGGATGGAAGGATAGAGAAGAAGACGAAGAAGAAGCAGAATGAAGGACAAGAGTGTTTTTCCGAGATGAGTGTGGGGATCAACGTGGATGGGGGGCTGAGAGCACGCACTGTAGCCCATAGGCCTTCCACTGGGTGCCGTCTGTATACTGCAGAGATCCGGCCATCGCGAGAGGTAGCCGAGATAGAAGGAGTTGCTGTACTGTGGAAGAAGGGGGCCGTTGACGCGTGTCCAAAGAACGATGGCGTGCTGCCTACCGTCTGGGTGAAAAAGTCGAGATTTCTAGGGCGCGACTGCGTCAGCGGATGTGCGCGATGGAACGAGCGGCCAAGTACATGTTGTTGAACTTGAACAGATCCGTGGCGACGAAAGAGCGCAGGATGCTCATTATGGCGATGGTGGTGAGAACAGAGGTCTAGGTCTGGTCAGGAAGTGTGGCGTGGACAAACCTTCTTCCCGATTAGGAAGGCCCGGCCTGTCGGCCAACAGCCATGTGATTGATGGATATGATGGATCTAGATAAGACTTTGTAAACATTTTAGGGTATCTAATCGTACGCATAAGACTGTTTTCGCTTCTGCTTAGCTTCGGGAGACACCGGATAGATTGTCCGCTCCATTTCCGACGCTTTCCGCTTGGATCCGCGTTTGAGAGGGGCGCTCGACGAGGGCGGGGGCGGGGTGGCGGGCCGAACAAAGACCTGTGCGTCGGTCTCCGCCACTCTCGGCAGCGACTCGATTCTGGACAGCTCGTCGGCGAGCGCGAGAAGTTCGGCTCTTCCACGACGGATCATGTCAGTTTGCGCTTCGCTGACACCCGTGGTAATACCGCCCAATGCCTTCCTCCACTGAGATAACTCGCCGCCGACCAATGCATCGAATTGAAACAACGACTTCGCCGTTGCCTGTGCGCTCAAAGCCGTGGTATTCTGCGTCGCTTGAATCATCTGCCTCTCGTCGATCGGATCTTCGCTCAAGTCAAGCTCGGAGTCTGAGGATGCGTCCGTAGCAACACTGGACGCATCATCATCTTCATCGGCATGATCATCGACGGCGTTGGTCGCTCCATCCGCCTCATCCTCCGCTCTGCCCTCCTGCTCCAACCTTTCGACAACCTCGGCCGCTCGCGTACTTGGTAACCGAAGCCGTATGGTAAGTATCTGACTCTTTTGAAGAGCGAGGGCATCCTCCACGGACTTAGGGATCGGGATTCCGGGGAGAGGTTGTCCGTCCGCTAAACAGATCTCCTTGGCCCTCAAGAGCGCGGCACGAATGTGTTTACAGGCACCTCCTTCCTGAACGAAGTCCATGCAAGTGCAAGTTACGACACCGTTAAAGCCCGCTCGGATATTGTAGGTGATGGGGTTTGCTTCGGAGGAGAGAGCCTGAGAGGAATAGCAGGTGAAGAGTAACCCCATGTTGCCCGGCATCATCTCGGGGACGCTGATTTGGCGGGCCTCGAGCAGCCTACTTGCTCGGGAGTCGCGGCCAGAGTCGGGATTGAGGTACGCCACTTTCGGTCTTTCCGAGACGACCTCAACCGAGCTCATTTGCTTCTTATTCAAGAGATCGGCGCCGCCGGGGAGCAGAGCAATCATGGCGGATAGGCGACTGCTCTGCTCCAGGTACAATCGACGTTCTTCGAAGATGGATGGCAAGATGAAGCAAACGAGGGCGTTCAGAAGGACATCTATGCGCAAACGACGTCCTCCGTTCTGCCAGTGCTTGAGGTGAGTCTTCTTCAAGACGCCGTTGAACGATTCCAAGTGATTGGTGGTAGGAATGACGCCTTCAATGCCGCATCCAAGCATTCCTGCCACAAGCAACCGATTGTGATTCGACCAACTCTTCCACAACGCTTCAGTCATCCAGTACCCATTCAGATAATCGAGGTGTGTAATTGCTTTCTGAATGGCACGCGCGCTGGATGGGTCCGCCGTCGCTTCAAGCATCAGTCGTCCCCGCTCATCCTCGATTAGCTGACGGGCGTCTTCGATCTTCTCCGTTTTCGGCAGCGCAGTCTCGAGAACTCTCATTCTCGACTTCAGATCCATCAGCACCGCAGTCTTCCCTTTCAGCACCTTGTTTCGATGATTTCGCCAAGACTGCCGGAGATGGAATCGGCAGATAAGAAGGATGATTCCGAGGAAAACAAGAGCTAGAGCAGCGCGCTCTTTAAGGTCTGTGTCTGTAATCGCGGATACCGGGTTGAATGATGTAGCACCTGACGGCTTGTTCTTGTTGCGGTTGAGAGAGTCCTGCCATTTGGTGAGGAGTTTGGTAAGAATTTCGGTGTCATAACCCGATGAAGATTGCTTATTGCCTGTAGATCAGTCAGCTCAGACGACAACTGCCGACTTGAAGGAGCAACTCACCGGTTGGTGCTGAGAACATCAAGAAAGCCACAGGTATTCCCTTCTTCTGTTCATCGACGACCATGGCAATGAAGAGTAACAGCCGCTTGTCACACACCCCGAATGTGCCGTCCAGAATAATCTGCTTTCGATGTCCGTGCTTCCAAGCAGCCGCATCCATCTCCTCGGTCGCCACACAGACTTCGAAGCGCTCGTTCCTTTCAGCTCGGGCCGAATAGTGAAATACGGCTTTTGCCAATGTGGGATTATACGCGAGCGAGTCGGGATTGAGCCAGTCGTCAATTTGGATCTCCGGTATGTCCCGCAAAGCAACGCCGTTTTGGAGATGATGCTTTCGGTGCAGGGACCGCGAGTCATTCGATGTGAAAATCCAACGAAAGCAAGACTCCTTCAAGTTTTTGGGGAAACTGGGGTAAGATTTCTGCGCGAACATCTCCCGGTTTTTGCGTCTGACGTCTGCAATAGTTGCGCCGTCCTTCAGCTGCTTCAACGCGAAGTCAAAGACTTCAGGATGGAGTGGGAAGACGGGTAAGTTCTCTATCCGCGCGTTCTGGCAGTCCTCGCTGTGCTGCAGTTGACCGCGAATGCGTAGGATTCGTTCTTCTGGCGTCTTGTGCGCGCGGATGGTCAGCTCCGCATGGGCGAGACATCCAGTGAACGGCATGGCAACTTTGCGGGCAGCATTCTGCGCGTCCTTCTTCGATCGTCGCGTATGATCATACCCCGAGGTGCATTGGTATAGAACGCGGCGCGTCTTGACAACGGTGCCCGTCTTGTTGCTCCAAGTCTGGGACCATCGATTCCCGAGGTCTGCGCAAGCTGCCTCGTCCAACTTCTCGTTCTCCAGGATGTCCATTGCGAGCGCTTGGTCAACGGGGTCCTTGTCATCGAAAATGTGGTCCACAAGAGATGATTCCCCCGGAGATCGATCATGCAACGCGTAAAGTTCGTTTATCCTCTTTCTCTGGTCGTCATTAAGGTCGAGTTGATTTAGCAGCACCTTAGAATTGAGGCTGAGCGGGTTGAGACCGCCCTTCGCAGTCTTAGGGGCTCCGGATTTGGCGCGCAAGAGCTTTGGCGCGCCAGCAGAGGGCGCATCAGCCAGGGTGTGGATGGAGAACGTCGAGAACGACATTAGGGATTGGTGGAGGATGGTATAAGCAATGGGCGCATATATTGTGTAAACTACGGTCTATTGTTACCCTAAAATGGCAATCATCATCACTCGCATCAACCTCGCATCAAATGCCGGACATGCCGATGACATTTCCCCTTTGGGAGGTTTGTCCAGGCCCCAATTCCGTCTGGTCATGATCACGATCAAACCTTGGAGTGTATTATGGATGTATCGTATCGCAAGGAATACAGTGGATCAAAAGAATGATACAAGATAAATACTATCTCGGAGACCCAAAAAGAACAGGCTACTACTGTCAGGCGGCACTACCATTAAAGTATCAGAGGGCAAAGTTCTGTTATCCGCCGTACCCGTAGAGATGAGTGTGCACAGACGTCCTGATCCATGCAAGTTCAGAGCATACATTCAGGCTAGGGGAGGGAACGGCACGCACCTCTCAGCACCGGTAGGCTCCGCGCATACGACTGAAGGAACACGCCCCTCTAACCACTGCACTACGTCACTCCCCACTGGCCCACAGTCATCCATCTCTAGCCGCGTCAAGCGCTGGACACCAGAATTAGAAACGCCACCACCATCGGGGTTCCGCGCATCCACCATCTTGACAAGCTTCCCAACACCGTCATGCCCGTGCCCATGCCCATGTGACTGGCAGCTCCGGAGATACAACTCCCGGAGCTGAGGACACAGCCAGCTCTGTTGGCCGTTGCCGTTGATGAGTACAGCGCCAGGCGGCAGAGTCAGGCCGCTGTTGTCGTCCGGCGCGCCTAGTGAACCAAGCAGCGACTCCAGCGACGCGCCCCCGACCTTGAGCACTTCAAGCGTCGCAGCACACTCACTGAGGAACCCCCAGGACGCGACAGATCCCGCTGCCACATAGCTGTGATAGAAACCCTGCGGACCAGGCCCTGTCGAAGACGGCGGGTATGATATCACCATCGTTCGGATTGGGGGGTTCTGGGACCGTGTATACAGGGATACGATGGTCTCTTCGATCGGCTCCCGCGGCGAGTCGAAGTCGAAATCGAGGGACTTGAGCTCAGGAACAGAGAGCGTGTCCGCGAGCTGAGAGAGCAGGTGATGTCCGCCGATGTACAGATCTTCCAAATGTGGAATGGTCGTGTTTGCTTGCAGGGGAAGGACCGGGTGCGAGACCGAGGTAAAGTGCAGTCTAAGGGACTTGAGCGTGTCCCGATTGGGGGTGATGATGCCGACGATGCGGTCCAGTGGGATGTGAGACGTGGGGAGCGCTCGGATGTTGATCGTATGCAGATGTGTCGACGGCTGCAGGAAGATGGACGAGGTCGGCTTGAACGGGGCGTGCTGCAGCGTAAGTGCCTCCAGCTTCGGGAGCGGATTCGCAATTGTCGCCGTCGGCAGAGCAGATGGAAGCCACCCCCATTCTGCGCCGGGCGCTGCCGCGTAGTATGCTTGTGATACAGCTGCCGACGCGCACGACAGCTCGAATTCCTTCAGAAGCGGGGCGGAGCCTTTATCATCAATCAGCCTGTTATTTATACCCACGGTGAACGTCCAGCACTGACCACTTATGGACTTGAGCGCCGCCAAGGAACCAAAAGCCTTGTCGAATCGGAAGACGAATCTCTCCCAGCGGAACATCTGCTGTACGAGATAGAACACTGCAATGTGACCCCAATGAACATTGACCGGGGCACCGGCACTGTCAGACTGCCCAGCAAGCAGGGGTGGTGAAGGTGATTCCCAACCCGGCGAATGAAGGTGTACGGTTGCTTGGGGAACGATGAATGGGGTAACGCTCGGTGTGAAATGAGGAACGAGCATGTGGCCGGGTGGTGGTAATGGTCCCGTGCCAAACAAGGGGGGCGGCGGCGGCGGAGGCACGAAGGTGTGAGTGATATACTCGTTCCTCCTGCGACGTGAGTACGAAGGAACAGGGGTCTCGGGACTCTGCACCACCCGCAGATAGATCTCAATGTCGAGCGGCACGGAAGATCCGGAACGTTCGAGCCAGAGCCTAATGGTGTCCGGAGACGAGTTCTGGTTGGTGAAGAGTCGTATCTGAAGGGTTTCCATTCAGTATATCGTGTCTAGGCGGGCCAGTGCCGCACAGATGGATGAACGTGCCTTTGACCAGATCCGTGGGATAGACAGTGCTTGCATTCGCCATGTCCTGCACACAGCAGACAGCACCCAAGCGCAGCATGGGTGGCCCTCAAAGCACCAGAGGAAAAGCTCCCTCAGGAGCTCACCCGGGAGGCGCCTGATGGGAGCGAGGTATGCCTGGAAACACGGGGTAGCCACGTTGTACGTGAATTGTGAAGACTTCAAGCGAAAACTAGACGAACCCGCGTCTGCTTAATGGAACTCTGTACCGAAAGCTGCTCCCTGACCAACTCCTCGATGTTGGCTCGCGTCTCGGCGACCAATTGGGCTAATGTCTCCTCGAGCGTCCTGATCTTGTCAGAGAACGCAGCTTCTTGCTTGAGCTGAGTGTCGAGGGAAATGCGTGCATCGGAGAGCGAACGAGTCGTTGGGGGTTCCTGGAAAGGTTGCCCGGGCAACATGGTGGTACGGAGAAAAGGGGCGAAGGGACAATGAGTGCGCGGCGATGGTGATGAAAATGGGAGAAGTGTGTCACGCCAAATTCGTGCCGATATATCCGCTTATGTGGCTGTGCTGTGTTTCTGCATGGCCCTGCGCATGTTACGAATTGCCAGGTACAAATATGCGCCATACAGTAAGCGGCCACGTCGTGGGAGGGATATGTCGGGAGATTAGGTTGACCTGGTGGGTATGGAAGAAATGAATCACCACGGAATCACCATATTCATCAGATTTGCGCTCGGTCGGCCGATCATCGAGAGAAAATGTACAGGACGTCAGGGACTCTGGATCGAGGACCTACATGAAGCAGCGGAACTTGACCGGGCCGAGCTTACTTTTTAGGTTGAGTATGCCCGAGATATACCCTCTTTCCGCCGGGAACAGCCGGGGGCGGCGCCGCAGTACCATCCAAATCTAGGGCGCATTAGGGCGGAGTTAACGTCAATCTCGGAAGATTTCCATATGACGGGCCGTGCTGCAGCGGCACTGAACGCACTGCGGTCATGTGGTCGAGAACTGCGCAGGATATAAGCTCTATCATTCCATTCGATCTCAGCATTGCAGATGGTGTGCATTCTCCATCTACCGCCCACCAAAGAACCGGAGGATGAAACGAGATATGTATACGAACGTGTCACAGAGCGGCTTCGGAGCCGCGCCTGAGCTATGTAAGGGGAATCCCCATGAGAATTCGACAGCGAGTTTGTCTGACAGTCTTGTGCACCCCCGCATCATCTCTGGAGTGATAGACCGGCCGTAGGTCAAGGAAAGCATATATTACAATCGAATGAAGGGGATCCTGAACCCTGCATTTCCATGAAGTGCCACTGGCGGGATTGTTGCATAGCTTTGAAGCAGGGATTGGCAGAATTACTGATTCGCACGCCCTGAGAGGTCCAAACATGAAATTTGAAGGAGATTCATGGGCGTAGTGCGGACATGCAATCGAGCGTCAGCGTACGTCAGCACTGGAGGATTTGACTCCATGCTACTCATTTGGAGACCAGGAGATCGACAGAGAGCCGGATCGTGCCGAAACGACCCTTCCGCGCCGCTCGCCGAGCTCATCACATGATGTCACGGATCGCGTCACACACCGCATTCCCTTTTGCTAATTTGCGTTTCGACCTCTTGAACCAACTTCCGTCTGTTTTTTCTGCGTCTCTTGAGCCGAGAATGGATATCCCAGGGCCCACCAAATCTCTTATCGACCACCTATTGTCTTGTCGACTCCCGCGGCTTGGCCGCTATTGTACTCGATCAAGACATGCCAGCTAGCGACGGCCCCAGCGACCTTGTTCTTGTCATTGTAAAAGAGTCTCAGATTACTTTAGTGTCCCCCCCCTTCACGTGAATTATGTCTGCCTCCGCCTCCACGCCTCCCACCCCCGATTCCACGACCCCCGCCGGGCCCGACGCGAACTGCGAATCTGCCTTCTTCCTCTTCCAGATCGACGCAGTGGCGTCACTGCCCGCAGACGTATCGGAAGACCAGATCGCAATCCGTGCATGTAGAGAGCTTCGCACGCGGCGATACCCTGCTGTCGCGCTGAATGTGCGTCAACTCGCGATGCCAAACACTCACTTGATGAACTCTGCCCCTCAGCCAGCGCATATAACACGAGATCCTTCTCGGGTCACGATCTCGCTCTTGTCTGATGTGCAACAGCGCATTTTCCCGGCAGTCGGTGCTGAACAGGACATGGTCGTCCCCGTTCTACCTGTGTTTTTGGAACACGCCCGGAGTCCCCGAAGACCGCTGAAGACAACGAATTTCCTGCCATGGGAAGGTTGCTATCTATCCATATTCTGGCAGATCTCCGTGAATCTCAGAGGTGTCTCCTCGTCACACCCACAATCCAAATTCTCTTTATGCGAAACGGAGCGTTTACGCGCTTTGGCTTGCCTAGAGGAGGATGAAATCCAACGCCGGAGGATAATAGATGAATGGACCGCGCATTCGCTACCTTCGGGTATGTTGCCTTTGGTCAGCCAGTCTCACGCACCAATCTCGTGTCCCAGGTTACAGGTTTCAGGCACAGCGATCATTCCCCGCGTTGTATGCGAATGCGAATACAGCCATCTGCGGTAGCATCACAGAGAGCCTCTCCAAAGTGAAAAAGATCTCGTCTCCCGCGCTCCTCTTCAAGGAAATAGCCGCGATCGAGAAGTTCGTAGCCATCAAAATCACTCGGAGAAACTAATCCCAACGTACACCAGTATTGTGGCGATGGCGCGGAGAAGGATTGCGCATCTCGAAGATCTTACGGAAACGCGCAAGCTATTGGCGCCGCGAATGAAACTCAAAGATGTTGAGTGTCACGCGGCTTTCATTCACCCTCCGTCGCAGACGACTTGCGTGACCGGAGAAGATAATTTGACACAGCACACGACTCGTCAAGCTCAAATACAACTCCCGCCGGTCATAATCGTCACTGATTTCAGCTCCATTTCTTTTGATAGAAGCTTCTATTCCTGCACCAGCACAATAACAACCGCCGCAACGGACTCGACAAACCTCGACAACCAGTCCAACGATAGTTCAATGGGGATCACGACCGTCGAGGGAGCCACCGTCGAGTTCAAGCCTACCTCAAAATGTGTTCGGCGCGCGCGAGTGGCCGAGGTGGACACCCCCACCATCTCTTTGCCAGGCCTAATCGCCGTAATAGCCAGAAAGATCAGGAGGATTCCGAGAATCGTCCGGGGAAGATATCGACATCGACGATCTCCAGGTGCAACAGAACTGAGCACGCATGGCTTGTGTGTTATGACCACGCGTGATGAGTTCATGACCAAAAGATGAGACGGCGATTGGATTATTTCACTCGCTTACTTTGAACGGGATGATTTGAGGAATCTAATGAACTGAATACAAGTTATCTTAGACAGACTCTCGCTCAAAGTCGAACATTCCCCATTTTTAGCCGAAAGTTGCCTTCAAAAGGCAATGTCGAGCTTTACTGGATCCGGTCGACGGCCGGTCCGAATCGAGTCAAGTTGCCTCGTCCCGTCACCATGTCCAGCATCGAACCATCCGAGGCTCTTTTTGACCAAGTTCAGACCGTGCTGGCGAACTACCTGACTTCGTCCCCGCTGTACGCGCACCTACTATCCACGATCGCTCTCACGGCAGTCGAGAAGGGACACGTCACGCTCAGACTTGTCGTCCTCCCTGTGCACGTCAACTCTAAATCCAGTATGTGGCCGCCGCGATCCCGTGATACTGTAGCTGATGGGCAACCCGCCACAGTCCTCCACGGCTCACTCTCCGCCGCGATCGTGGACCTCGTGGGCGGCCTGATCGCTATCGCCGCAGGCTCGCCCAAGACGGGCGTGTCGACGGATCTGCACGTATCGTTCGTCAGCAGCGCCAAGCTAGGAGACGAGTTGTATATCGAGGGCTTCGCCGAGCGCGTCGGGGGCACGCTCGCTTTCACGCGCGTCCGGATCGAGAAAGTGGTGGACAGCGAGGGCGTGAAGGGCGGAGAAAGGGTCCTCGTGGCCACTGGGACGCATACCAAATATGTCAAGTGAGTGGAGCGAATGAAGTTGGACAACCACTCGTCAAAACGGTTGATGGGCCTTTGCCTGTACGGGACCGAGTCTTCCATCTGCCGCGCTGTTGGTAGCATTCTTCTTACCTCCGCTTCGCTTCCGGTCCCCGTAATGGGCTCCCAATATCAGCGTTTTGCTCCAGTTCTGTTTCAACCATGGCATCAATCCAACCTGGAACGCTTGAACATCACAATCCGAAAAGCCCTGAATCCGGCTAGATTCGTGTGAATGCACATCTAGACTTCTTGGTTGATGCGCTACCAGCTCGTAAAGAACTGGTATGTTGCGCTTAATGTCGATCTCGAAGTTGAGGTACTAGCAAGCGCTAATGGAGCCAACGTTCGTCGAATTAGGGCTAAGTATCCCGAATTCAAAATCCCTGCAGACGTCTAACCTGGCGAGCTAACCTTCGGAGACAGTTTCAGGCTTCCCCGAAAAGATCAAATGCCAAGTCTTCTCCTCCAAGAGATCGCGTACATATATAACATAACGCGCAAAGAAGTAGAGAACTCGATCAAATTCAGAATCGTCTATCACGCGTTTCTAGACAGGAGTGGTAATTTCGGCTTCATAGCGGGGTATTTGGTGGAAAGATCATGGGTTCCTGGACCTCGATGCGCTTCTCATGACCGCAAAGCAGCTCGACGAGCGTCAGAGCGAAGGGGAACGTGGTGCCTGTCGTTTCGTCAGCTTAAGCAATGATCTTCCCTCCGGAACGACATAAGCTCACCTGGACCTCGGCTGTAATGAAGGTCAGCGACACATCCTAACGCGAGGCTATCCGACGGAACGTACCTGGTAACGAGCTTGCCTGAAACAACGACCGGCTCTTCCGAGTAGTCGAAGCCTGGGGAGTTATCGGGGTAATGTTCAGTTTCGCGCGAATCACCTCGGGGTGATATTGGAAGCCCGACCTTTTTCCAGCTGCGCCTTGACGCTCGGATGCGATGTGAGTGGCTGATGTGCTAGCCCCGCCGTCAATGCTGTCATGCTTCCTGAAGGAGTTGGGATGATTAGGCCGGCCCGGATCAGGGACGGATGAGGACGGATTCGTCTGACCTGCACAAATCATGCCGACAAACTTTCCAGCTCTCAGGAATTCTCGGACAAGCGCCTGGACATCAGCGTTCTGGGAGAGCGTTTCCGCGCCTTTGACGCCACCCGGAATGACGAGCACGTCGTATGCGGTCTGCACTCGCATAGGTCAGTCTGCCGCGGTTGGACCGATCGAGCTCAGCACGCACAGGGCAGAACTCGTGTTTCTCAAACAGCGCATCATACATAATCCTCATCCCCCGCGACCCGACGGCGTACGGTTTCACCTCGGCCTCAGGCGCGGGCACGAACGCAGAGCGGCACGAGACCCCTGCGCGAATGAGGGTGTCGTACGGGATCGTGCTGTCAGAGGGGATGAGTGCGACGATCGGGCGCAACGAGAGAACAGGGCAGGTACAATTCCATTTCCTCAGTTCCATCGGCAATGAGGATCGCAGCGGAGTACGGCATGGTGAGCGTCTTGGGGTTGTGGTGGGGTGTGGGGGATAGAACCGGTGTCACAGATGTCACGTTGCCGAATGCATGTGATGCTATTTAAGGGCCAGGGCGCGTCATAAGTTCTAGGCAGGGGCTTTCGCTGTCCTCCTTTCCAAGTGCGATAAGCATGCAGCGATTTCCATAACCTTGGATCCCGTTTCCATGCTCGTGTGGTTCGAAGGCCTTCGAGCCGGATAAGTACAGTGTCTGCTGGTCTTCTTCTCTGGGCTTTTGATGCCTTGCACTGTGTCGACAGAATACTTCCCAGCGGAAGCAAGCGAGTTCCAGATAATAAAAACAGGACAAAAGCAAATGCTACATGGTATGTATGGGCAGGTCTCCGGAAGGGTATTCAGTAGGACCACAACCTGTGTGAGCGTTGAGAAAACGCCAAAAAATGTCATTAACATTTATCGTATCGCAGACGGCGATCGTGAGACCGAGGAGCCAGCAGCATAATTCGTTCTCCCATATGTATCTCCGTTCTCATCCTCGATCTCTGTTCCGAAATAGGCCGAGACGACCGTCATCGGGACAGACTCTGAAAGGCCCTCATTCCCAGTGGAGCAGAACGGACTGGAGGCGGAGACTCGTTGACTGCGGTTTGCCGGCTTTCTATCCCGCAGATTGAACATGAAGCGTGAGATCAGAATCGACGAGAGGCTGGGATAAATGTCAGTCCAAATTGAATTGTGCTATGTGTGAGTTGCAAATGGGGGCGCACACGTTTGACAAGGTCGTGGCGGACCCGCGAGCGTAGGGCTGGCGGAGGATATCAGCTTAGCGAGTAACAGCGAGCCAGGAACTTACCCCTCCGTACTGTATTGATCATTGTGAGTCGAACGAAGGAACGGCTGAGAAAAGCTAACGTACGATATAACTGATGATATTGCCGATGTTCGCCAGAGCCATCACTCTATAATGATCGTAAGCCCATTAGATTGATGCTTTGACCGTAAACGCGCACAAAAAATACAACGTTCCTAATTATAGATCAGCGGAGGAAGAAAAAAAATTGCCGAGGAATGAAAACGGACCGTCACGTACGAGTGTCGCAGCCAGGCTTATCGGCCTTCCTGTGCCCAAGCTGCTCACAGTACCCCGCTCCTGCCTCATAAACGCCTTGGAGATCGTGAGGCCAAGGATCATCGCATCGAACACCAACATCCCAATCCACGCAAAGCCGATTCCTCCCACAATTCAGAACCTCCAATCAATACTACACGTGTGGCGGGTAACTCACTTCGGGACCTGCACATTGGCGTCAGCTCTTCTGCCCTGCACACCTTGACGACGGAGGAGAATCACTCACGCGAAATCCGTCAGGTAAGCGGCGCACCCGATTCTGGGATAGAAATCCGACCGGTGGGTCCCACGTGGCTCCCGGGACGTCACGATCGACCACTGAAAAGAACTATTCAGCAAGCTAGTACGCTATAGGAAAAAAGCGGGAAGCATACACCACCGATACCCAGGACTAACGCAGAGACCATCAGAATGAGAGCCAGCACTCGCTTGCTCTGCTCGTGCAGAGCGTAAGTCCGCAGTATGAGCATCGCTACGGATATCGGTCAGATCCATAGCAACTGAACCGGACACATGTGCGCACTCGCGACGAGGATCTGCGAGACGACCGCGAAACATTGGTGGAACGACTGCAGGGGATGGCATCTGGGAGGCAGGCAGGAGGGCTCGTCAGGAAGCGGCAGGGACAATCAAGCAAGACGACGGACAGCTGCATCATCATGCTCAGGGGTCTTCTGACGGTCTTCTGGAACAGATATCCGCGCACCTTGGCTTTGGCTGGATCCCCCTCATCTATCGTGGTCCAATAGTACTCCAGCATGACGGGCACATGTCCCAGTAAGGAAAGGTAGCGATTCGCGTAGAACAGGGCGGTCGCGCGGGTTATCCGGGTGCCCCAGTAGAGCTGCACCTCGCGCTCGAGCGTAAGCAGATAGTCGTAGAAAAGAAGAGCTACGAGCCAATCAACAATGGAATCATCTTGCTCGGTAGAAGGAGCTCACTGAACGCGGGGAGAGTGAAATAGGCATTCGAGTTCCTGGACGCAATGTCAGCAAAGATTGTGCGCGCGGAGATGGGGGTGGAGGTGGAGGCCGGGCACACACAACTCTGTCTGGATATCCGTCGCACTTAGCTGTAAGCCAGAAGCAATGGCATCCATGTTCAGACTTGCATGGCGCAAGAGCGGGGGTGGAGAGAGAAAACTGGGTCCTATCGCTCAGAACCGCGGAAGTTTTGTGTCCTCGGCGATCATCGATTTAGTGCCGGGAAGCCGCCGAGCTGAGGCTGTGTTGTATTTTGCCACGCGAGCCTTGCGACACTTCTCCCGGCGTCCGTTTATGCCATCACGGCTCACCAACATGGTGTCGCTTCACAGTGATCCTTGGTGATCCTTGGAGCGGATGAGCCGACTTCGTGCTGTAGACCGGAAAGTTTTGGAGTCGAATTTCCTGGGAAATCACACTTGGAGGAACAGCAGAGTATTTTGGGATTGTGATCTGCGCGACTGCGTCAAGATAACACGGCCTCCGGTGTTCATACAGGCTGAGCCTAGAGCCTTTCCAAGCTCAGTTCTAGAGCCTAGAGCAAGGATCCGCGGTGATTGACCGGGCCCGGCAGATAATTTCCGGGCCGAAAATCACTGCATCAGTACATAAGCTTATGCCGTGCGAAAGCTTGCACGTGCATGGTCTGCACACACACCGCGGCCGCGCAATCCATTGGCCAATCAGAGTTTGAGATCATATTCGCAGCGAGCCCGCAACTCGGGACATCGATTAGGCATTTTCTCAGAAAGGCGGGTTCTCTCTCCCTCCTCCTCCACCCGCCGGAGGCCCGCCCATATGACATCCCACCCAGCGCGCTCGGCATCAGCAACCACAATATCACTGTCACGGCCAATGCTGGGTCGGACACCGACGGCCTTCCAAATACGGACAGAGCGGTAGTACTCCGTACTTCACCGACTTTTACTTCCTTGTGTGACCCTCTCGAGTCATACGCTAATTTACTGGAGCTGCTTCTCAAGCGCACGATAAAAATCAAATCTCGACGGCTTGGGTACCGTGAAATCGTCCACTCTCCATATATTTTGTGACTGGCAATGCATTTTGCTTCGTAAAAAACGGAAATGAATAGAATAAGAAAGAGGGTGGCGGGGTGCGTGAGGCGTGCACTGTAATACTTCCAGCGACGATACCAATCAGTAATTGCACGCGAGCTTCCACATCTCGTACGATACCCAATCAAAACACACGACCTGTACATGAAGAATCTAAATAGGAGGTTGCATCATGTCAGACAACACCCTAAACACCTCTGTGATTCCTAGCGGTCTCCCATGACAATAATCCAAAAACGTTTGCCCGCGCAGATCATCCGGTGCTCAGCGGCACACCGCCGTTATCCGAATCACCAGTTGTCCCGCGGGCATCAGAAATGGCCCTTCAATATCTCCTCCGACGGCTAAGCCGCCGGGATGGTGTTCCGGGGATGATCCACGGCCTGGTGGGGTCTATGCCCTCGGCTCATTGCGCGCAGATGTCCAAACACCCCGGCAGACTGAAACGAGAGCGGCGATATACTCCGCCAACCTTCAGTGAGGAGTCCAGACCCACACTCCGGTTACGCTGGAGAAGTTGAGTGCACGCTCGATTGGGCGATGGACGACCAATGTCTTCGATGCTCTGCTTTGCGAGCCATGCCAGAGCGGAGATGTGTGTAGTTGTAGCAAATATCAGAGCAGAGGACATCGTCGGCCACCGAGGTTGCTCACCACATGGGTAGCCTAGGTTCTGTGTGTGGTAGTAGAAAACACACTGTTCTACTGCCTTACATCCAGCATCTCACATGAGAAATCGGGCCAAAGGAACATGATTCCTCAATCTCATAGATTTCAAGGTCAGATAGGTGTGGAAGCAAGGGAAACGTGAGTTGAAGAGGTCGAGAATGATCAAGCCATCGGAGATGGCATCGTGTAATCTAATCTGTTATCTAAGGGCAATCAGTATCCCGGATCAATTCGGGCCGAGAGCAATTCATTCTCGGTCTCAGAGAGTGCAACTATCGCGAACAGGTTCGAAAACTTCCAAGATACCGAAACCACAGATTTATTAGGCCCTCAGAACAGAGATATGTGCGCCGGAACCACCACTATGATTCATCCTCCCAGTCACCTGACAGGGTCACCTCTCAGCAGGAACTTCCATCTGCGTCTTCTCGACCTCGGCAGCGATACGACCGTGGCATCGTCTGACTCTTACCCCCGACCAGCCCATGCGAATTCTCTCCCTGCTGCTCGCTGGCGCTGCGCTGCAGTCGCTAGCGGCGAGTCCTGCCGATGCACCGCGCCGGAAGGTCACAGCCAAAGAGAGCGTGGAGACGCTGCTGGACGACTTGCTGGGCCATCTTTACGTGTGTAGCCTCGAATCGATCTTTTAGCTTCTCCTCTTGAGGCCCCACGTTCTAGCTCCCGGCCCACATCCCACACAACGCATCTGAAATTGGAAACCCGCCAAGCTGGAGGCTGAAGAAGGACGAGTTCTTGAACGAGGTTCTCGGCCTCTTTGGTCCCGCTGCAACAGTTCAGCAAAGACCGCTTCGGGTTGGGAAATCTGGTCCGGTGAACTTAAATGCCAACCAAGCAAAGGCAACCTTTGTCGAGAACTTGATATCTCAAATGACAGTACCTGAACTTGGTGAGTTGCTGTTGATCAGACGCTTCGGACTGGGCTCACGGTCGAATCAGTTCTTCAGCTGCACCTGTTCTTCGCAGGTAAGCCCGGGTCCGTGTCTGACTGTCCCCTCTGATCCCACGCGCGAACTAGACAACGCAATCGGCGTCAACTCCGACAACGGGGGCTACACCTCCGCTCTGAGTCTCGCACCCACGGCGGGGATCGGCGTGATCAACGACTGGTACCCGACGAACATCAGCCAGTTCAACTCGCTCCAGGAGCTCAACCTCAACCGCTCGCGCCTGCACATCCCGTTCATGGTCTACGGCGAGTGCGTGCACGGCGTGGGCTCGTTCAAGCAGAGCATGTTCCCGCAGGCCATCGGCCTCGCCGCGTCCTTCGACACCGATCTCACGTGGCGCGTCGGGAGGGCGATTGGGAGCGAGGCGCGCGCGATTGGCATACACGCGTGTTTGGCGCCGGTGCTCGATCTGGGGAAGGATCCGCGCTGGGGGAGTCCAGGGTGCGTCGGTTTCTTTTTGATGGGACCGGGCCCAGTCATGCGTGGGGTCAGAGGCGTGGGGCGAGGATTACGTCCACACGGCGATCATGGGCACGGCGTTTTCTAGCGGCTTGTCGAAGAACGGGTCCTGGGCGGATCCGGATGCTGTTGTTCCGGTTCTCAAGGTACGAGTTGTGGTAAGACTGGACTGGAACCCAAGTGCTGAGGCATGGACCAGCATTTTGCTGCATACGGAAGCCCGCGGTCGGGTCTTAACGCCGCACCGTTCATGGGCCGGGGGATGCGCGAGGTCATGCAAGAGATGCTGGTCCCTTTCAAAGCGGCCATCGATCTGGGCGGTGCCAGAGGCGTCATGATGTTCGTAGTCAGGGATTCGCTGATTTCATATTCTTACCATTCTGACCAGGTCCTACAACGAACTTGACGAGATCCCAGCTGTGGTTCACCCCGATCTGTACGGAGCCCTGGAACAGTGGGGCTTCGATGGTGGGTCTGAATTGTTTCCTACGATATGCATGTCATCTAAGGTCATCAGGATTCGTCACTGCAGACGACACGGGCATGGCGCAGCTCATGAGTGTTCACGGGGTCGCCGGCTCTCCGGCAGACGCCATCGCGCAGTGGTTCAACGCGGGAGGGATGATTGACTTCTACGACTATCCTTTGGATGTTTATCTCAACGTGCGGGCAATCTATCGCGTAGCACGCCTCCAGCTGAAACTTTTCCAGGCCACGGTTGATCTCGTCAAGAACGGTACAGTCAAAATGACCACTCTGCAGGGCCACGTGCGCAAGATTCTCGGGGTCAAATACGATCTCGGTCTCTTCAACAATCCGTTTATACCAGAAAACATCGACGTTCAGGCGCTTACGACCGAGCATGTACCGTTAACGCTGGAAGCGGCCCAGAAGAGTATCGTTCTCCTTGAAAACCGGAACCAAACACTTCCCATTCCGCTCGATCCGACTTCCCGGGGGATCAAGAACATCGCCCTAATCGGTCCATTCAGCGATATCCTGAATTACGGCGACTATTCTGGCCAGTGGGGAGCATATCCCGCGAACCACTCATCTACGCTGCGTCAGGCAATGCTCGGCCAGCTGCGCAACACGTCGACGAAGCTGACGACCAGCTGGGGATCGGACACGTGGACGTACCACGGGCAGTACAACATCCCCGCATACCTCCTCGGCGGGATGCGCGGGACGTACTTCGCGCGCACCGATTTCTCCGAGCCGGTCTTCACGCTGGAGGAGACGCCGAACCGCGACTGGGGCCTGTACCCGCCGCCGGGCCTGCCGTCGAACAACTTCAGCGTGGTCTGGGACGGCGAGCTGACCGTCCCCGTGTCCGTGGCGGGCTGGATCGGCGTCGCCGTGGGCGCCAACTGCTCCGCGGCGCTGTACATCGACGGCCGGCGCGTGGTGCACACGCCCGCCACGCCGTCGGGCAACATCCTCGGCAACATCATGCTCGCCGCGAATACGACCGCGCCGCCGCCGGGGGGAGCCGAGTTTGAGTTCGTCGAGGGTGCAAAGCATAAGATCCGTGTTGAGTTCCAGGCGTTCAATCTGGCGCCGAAGAGGGCGAATTTCGGCAGCCTCAATGCGGAGGTTGAACTCTTCTGGAATCTCGTGGGAACTGATGGGGCGGTTGAAAGGGTGATGATGCATTCGGTAGCAGCGCCGGTTTTTCTGCATCGACTCGACTGACGACGGTCTACAGGCAGTGGATACCGCAAAGTCTGCGGACTTGATTGTGCTTGCTGTCGGCGCGAACTGGAACAGCGACGGTGAAAACGGTGATCGAGCGACCCTTGGCTTGTCCGTCAACCAAAGTGCGTCCTTGATTGCCCCATACCAATATCAAGTCGATACTTACTCGGGGTACATCAGCGGCTCTGGCCGACGCTATCTTTGACCTGGGGATCCCGGTTGTCCTCGTCCTACAGGGCGGGCGTCCGTTCGCTATTCCGGAGTATTACGCGAAAGCCGCAGCTGTTCTCGATGCCGTGCGTGGCGTCTGTTCCCCCATCATCCCGAGTGCTGAGAACTTTTGAACAGTTCTTCCCAGGCCAATCGGGCGGCCAGGCCATCTCGGATGTGCTCTTTGGCCTGTTCAATCCGGGTGCACGAGTGCCTTTGAGTGTTCCATTTGACGTCGGGACGCTGCCGGTTTATTACAAGTGAGACGCAGAGCTGGAGGCGTGCGAGGATCTGACACGCGCTGCTGCAGCTACAAAGCGACGTCGCACGTGAACAATTTCACCGACGAGAGCATTGGATCGTATCCTGTCGTGAGTGGATCCTGTACGAACTAGGCACCACACCCATCTGACGTGTTTGCAGTACAGCTTCGGTTATGGCCTGTGAGGATGTGTTCGTCATCTGATCGGATCTAATCTGATACCACGACAGCTCGTACACGACGTTTGCGCACAAAAATTTCAAATCGCTCAGTGGATCCACATTATCGACCTCTTCTCCCTCCACCCTCTCCTTCTCGCTCACGGTTCAGAACACAGGCTCGATCGCTGGCAGCTACGTCGCGCAGATCTACCTCCTCCGCCCGGCCCCGCCGTCCTTCTCCCCCTCCGCCATAACGCGGGCCGAGAAGCAGCTCGTCGCGTCCTCGCGCGTGTACCTCGGTCCCTCGGAGGACGCGCAAGTTGTGCTGAGCGTCGATGTGGAAAGGTACCTGAGGGTGCTCAACCGGGAATGGAGGTGGGAGGTTCCGAAAGGGCGGTATACGTTTGCGGTGCTGGAGCATTCGGGATGGAATGCGGATACTTCGGTGAATGTGACCCTCTCTGCTGTGTAGTGATTGTGGCTGTGGTTGCGCATATATCATGCTTTTGTACGATGTGCGTGCGAAAGGACAGGAAAGTGTATTTCACGGGGATTTTTCGGCGAGCCGTGCGGAAATCACTTGGTGTGCCCCGGTCACCCAGAGTCGCCGTCGCCGGGATGACGAAAAAGGCTAAGTTGTGGCTGTGCATGCGCCGCCTTGCCACGACCATTAACTCTTGAACGTCGCGCTCAGCAGCTTTGTCAGACTCGGTCTCAACCCTCTTCTAATCTTCACAAGCCTCTATTCCACCAAATTACCTGACAATCGACCCTCTCTCAGCTGCAAATGTACATACGGATGCCTGCCGCGCGTGTCTCAGACCTTCACCGCTGAACTTACCCGCAACTACATCGAGCGGCTCAATGTGGGCCTGAGACGTATAAGTATCCATCAGGACGCTTCCTGATTCACCCCGCTCACCGCTCACCGCTAGCCCCATGCCGTCCTCGTCTCGCTGCAGCCTCAACTCTCCACTCTCGACAATCTCAGCCGCATCGCAGTCCAGTATAAGGTCGCTGCAAGACATCTCGGAGTACTGCGACTCGGAAGACACACCTTCTCCTCCCACGAGTCCTGTCATGTGCCCGACATCTCTTCCGTCTTGCGCATCAGTCCTCGTTCCCCCGAGTGCATCCACGGCCACTTTCCTCCCCGCGACATCCTTCTCTGGGCTCCCTTCGTCGTCGTCCTTCGGTGAGGCCGCGGGAGTTACGATGCCAGTGTCACCGGCAGGTAGTCCCGAACTCGCGACTGTGGTGTCCCAATCCGCGCGATTCGCCGTCGTGCAGGAGACGATGAAGAAAGCGCTGGCGGGGTCGACGGGGTCGGGTTTCACTCGGTCTACGCCATCGAAGGTGTGGGGTTATAATATTCAGAGCTCTGCTGCACGTCTTCTGAGACAGCCGTTGGTGCAGGGTTCTGTTGAGGGACTTCCGTCTGGAGATGCGGAGTCGGAGTGTCGACTGTACCGTTCCGCACAAGCGTCGGCGTCTGCAACGGTGTGTGCCAAACTCGTTTCTTTCTGTTTAAACTCAACGACGCTGACGTCCCGACAGACGCTGAAGCCCTCGAAGCGACGCACGGTCTCCGATTCGACGGCTGATTTGTTCTCGCCGAGGAGTCTGGGGCAGGCGACGTTTCCATCGTTCAGATCTGTCGGGATATTCGATAGCGCTGTGGGTGCAGCTCAGCACGACTTCTCATTCTGAGGATTGATGCTTTGATTGTTTCTAGACGACGTCGAGTGGGATAGAAGGGATGCCGACGCTGAGGATAATAGCTGCCGCGGATGAAGCTGTTTGTTTCTTTCATTCGCTCGTCTCGGGATGTTTCAATGAACTACTGGCAGATGGTTACGAGTGTCACTGACGCATCGCCCGATGTTGCCCAGAGCACGGACACGGTATGCACTCATCCTGCCTTTCATGCCCCATCTCACAACCACGCGAAGCCTATGACTGCACCCGCGCCATCATCTGGCTCAAACTCGTACCAAAGACTCGGTCTGGGTCTCCCCACCCACCGGCGAATTCGCATCCTCGAGAGCTCCACCAACGCCCGCTCCACGCCATCGGCCTCCCTCTCGTCCGCTCGCGCATCCTCCGCGACTCTCCCGCGCGCCATGTCCCGCTCCGGATCGGCCGGCCACCTCTCGATCCGCTTCGTCGCGCGCCGGCGCGGGATCTTCGATCGGGTGCGGAGGGTGCTCTGTATGACGAAGAAGAGCACGGGGAAGAGCGTGGCCCTGAAGCGGATGGGTTTCGGGCACTTGACAAAGAAGAAGAATGGGACCAGTCAGGATCGGATTCGTGCTCGTGGGGGCAAGGGGAAGAGCGAATCGGAGGGGGAGGCTCTGGCGCTGGCTGTGGAACAAGAGCGGAGTGTTTGGGTAGAAGTCTGGACGTGTACAAGGGAAGGCATCAGAATGTAAAATCTCATCACAGCATGCACGGTTCAATTCAATGCAGGGTTTATTCAATCTTCCTAGGACCTCACTCGCAAAATAAGGCTGTAAGGGCTGATGCTGTTGGCTCAGAGTCCGCTGGCATCCCGTGTTCACTTCGAGTACCACTGGTATATTTGAACCAGACCGAATTGCAGTTCTACTCCGTCGATTGAGTCCGACAACACCATTTTTCTCCTGAATTGATTTGAGTCGTCCTGCATTCGGGAGCACGTTTTGTGTGGTGCCTGGTCGTCCTTCGCGTTGCATTGGGCCTATGCTTGCGACGATTGTCAGCGGGGCTGAAAAGCTGTATGTATAAGTATTTCTGTGCGATGACATCAAACCACTCAAACCCTCTCAACCGAAGCCCTCGGAATCAGTATCGCATATGGGACTAGGGGTTCAGCCCAAACCCCTATGCACTTCTGGTGGACCAGGTGCGAATGTTCCCGAAGCGAATTTCACCTTCTCCGTGTATCCACAGCTTCATTCCTGTGCGCGGAATGTGCGGCAAGTCCAACGGAGAAGTAAGTAGTTCTATCAGGAAGGTGGTTGGCAAGGCACCGACGGCAAGCCATCACCGACATGAATGATCAGAAGCATGAAAGCTGTGCAAAGCTATTTACTCCGGCCCACTGAAATGCGCATGGTCCCAGAGGGCTGATAAGTAACTGTCTTCACTCTCACTCAGAAAAACCCCACCTACGCGCCCGATGAGCGAATCCGAGATAGCTGAGCCTCACGCGCTGCCGGGGGAGGGGCAGGAGCAGACGGCCAGCGTTCCCAAGACAGTTGTCGCTTTCGCACGCGCGGAAGATGAGCATGATGCTCCTGCACTAGACGGTGCTGTGAATGACGACGCAGCCACGGAGGGTGCTGATCCCAAAGTGGAGGAGGAGGAGGATGCAGAGGCGGTAGTTGCTCCTGAGGAACTCGAGGAAGAGGAAGAGGAAGAGCCAGACCCCAGCGGCGGTGAAGAGGAAGATGAGCGCGAAATGGACACCGACGACGAACTCGAGGAGGCCAACTTCTGGCACGACCAAGTCATGTCCGAGCTTCTCCGCGCGTGCCGCGACTACACCCCAAGCGAGTACACGATCCTCAAGGCCTTCTCCGTCGACCGCATGGGCAACGTCTCGTACACCGCGCGCGCGGCGCGCACCGGCGCGCTCGTCGCGGTCAAGGCAATCGAGCTGCGCGCGCCGATAGAGCGGTTTGCGGGCCAGCGGCTCATCGGGGAGCTGTACCTTACCCGCGATATGCTGAACCACAAGAACGTCGTGACGTTCTTGGATCTGTATTTGGCCGAGCGGCGGGAGGTGTGGCTGATAACGGAGTACATCGAGGGCGGTGCGACGCTGGCGGAGGTCATCCAGCGGAAACAGGGTACATTTGAAGAGGGCCAGGTAGCCAAGATCATCGGCGATGTGCGTGGCTGTTTCAAGTTCCCCGCTTTACCTCCTAATGTGCATTTGCAGGTCACCCGAGGTCTCGAGCACCTCCATCAGCAGCTCATCCTCCATCGTGACATGCGGTCCGAGTCGATCGTCATCGACCCCAAAGGCCGGGTCAAAATCTGTGAGGACGCTACACCCTCGACGAACTACAAGCATCTAACGGACGGCCATCCTTCATCCTCATAGCCAACTTTGCATTTGCGGTCCAGCTTCCCGATAAAGCAGCCAAGCGCCGCACGATGGTCAGCACGCTACCCTTGGCACCACTGTCCGACCGCTCCGCCTACACTCCGGACAAGACGCATTGGACTCCACCCGAGGTACGCCGCTGGCTCGCACGGACGCTTGAGTGCCCCCTCTCACGCACCGTAGGTCATTCGCCGAGCCCCCTATGGACCGGAAGTCGATATTTGGGCGCTGGGAATCACGTTGCTCGAGATGCTGCAGGGCGGCCCGCCATACGAGTTTGCCGACGAACCGAGCGCACCGGAGCCGGCAGCGTCCGCTGCGGGGGAGGACAAGGTAGAGGAGGCCCAGTCTGCGGGGGACGGTGCGTACGACGCGCAGACCGATCACAAAGCTCTGACATCCGCATCTCAAGACTCATCACCATCTGCCGACATAGTGGCTGATCCCGATGCGGTTCCAAAGGAAGCACAGGCTCCCGCAGATGTGGAGACTTCCCCTGACGCCACTGCCGATGCAGATACGCCCGCCGAGCCGGCAGCCACCCACACCACCGCGGAAGCCGCGCCCGAGCGGAAGCGCAACGACCCTCTGCGCGTCCTCTTCCTCATCCTCGTCAACGGACCCCCGACGCTCCCGTCAGATGCCACCGTGCAAAAGGCCGGCGGTCGCGAGCCCGTCAGTGCGGATCTGCGGTCGTTCCTGGCCAGGTGTCTGGTCGTGGATGTGTCCGCTCGGGCTGCGGCCGCGGAGCTCGTCGAGGTACGTGTCCCACGCTTTTTCGAAGCACGCCCGGGCTGACGATCGGTCGTTCGTCTAGCATCCGTTCGTCCAGCGTGCGTGCGATCCGGAGGGTTTGGCCTCGCTCCTGGCATGGAGAGTCGCGGAGATCGAGCGTGAGAAGGCCGAGGAACCGGATGATGAGCTAGAGGGAGATGGCGAGGATGCAGAATCTGGGTCTTTGGGCGAACAGGCGGAGACAGCCAATGGACGTCCGAACGAGATCGAAGCGCTTTCAAGTGATGACATCACGTGTTGAGCGATGCGTCCCGATGTCGACGGGAGCCTAATCCAGCCTCACTATCCCCGGTCAGGCACACGAGTCTGCTGCGAAAGACCATTCGCGTAGGGAAATGAATAGCTCATGGACGATCAAGCTCGTGCTCTGTAGTCTGTTTGACTTTCCGGCAACTGAACAGAACCCCTTCGCCACACTCTAGAAACCGTCGCGCTCCATTCGGCTTGCGAGAAGCCGAAATAGAGCGTACCGTGAGAGTCTCGCACGGCGCGCACGACGACACGCTCCCAGTGTGCCGAATCCGAACAGCTTTGGGCACGATAGATCGATTCAATTGGGTACGATGTTCTCGGCCATGCACGGTATGTGCGATATCAACTCTGGCGGCATGGTTACCATCCGGAATGATGAACGGATGAGAATCCAAGTGGGATAAAATCTATATTGTGCTTGGGGTTTCTCCCGATTTATATAGTACATAGTCATGTATCGGAAAAGTAATTCTACTGCCTTATATATTTGTATCTGACTGAGTCGTGTATCAGTAAGATGCTTTGAGAACATTCGGGAATGATCTTGATGCAAAGGCACAGCATTCCTGTTAATACTCAACACGGAAGAGAGTTCAGAATGGCGAATCCGCCGAGCCAATGGCTCTAATAACTTGACATGGTGAGAAGGAATTGACTCCCCCGAGCGCGTCTCGCAATAGCTCTCCCTGAAGATGACGCAGAAGCTGCCAGCGGAAGTCTCGGAGATGTCGAATTCAACACGAGTCGCCTTGGGCGAGGGCGACCCTGAATGCGGATCCGCTGTCACAAACTTCACGATCGAAGAGATTGGGCGTTGTAGACTGGATGATCATTTCGCTCAAACGACAAGTTGGATCTTGGAACTGATAATATCAAGGGCTGAGCGTTTGCATGACGAGGATACTCTCACACGACGCCAAGGCACGGAAGCCCATGTAGATCTTCAGAGGTCGATTCCGACCATCTCTGCTCTTGCCCCATCACATCGGTGGAGGTGCCTGGCCGCTTAAGACCGCCTGCTGTGAGCACAGCCTCTTCATTCGCAGTGAGGTCCGTCCATCCCACATGAGCGTCTGATCAACTTCGTACCGCGGTGATGCGACTAAATGGCCTCCCAGTTCCGGCACAGCGGGAACTTACACTATGTGGACAAAATGATTGACTGATTGGTTTTTTGATTGTCCTGGCTCACAGAGCTGATATTGCCCAAGGGTCAATTGGAATAAAATGCACCTTAAGAGTATTAGTTTCCTTGTGTAGAATATCTAGAACTCCAGATTACAGTGTACTAAATGAAAATCTTGTCTATGTTCAAATGTGCCCACCCCTGCCTGGAATCCTCCTTGCCTGATGGCAGTGGGTGCTGACCTTTCACTATGTGTTTGAGAGAGTCCTAGATGTGCTAGATGACATTGAAATCAGGACTCAAGGCTGGCCAGAGAAGCAAAATGTTGTCTTTATTGTAAAACCAGTCATTGATAATTAGTGGTATATCTCTACAAATAATTTTGCAACAACTTCAGGGGTTCAGTGGAGTATTCTATAGGCCCAAGGCTACATTTTGTTCTTAGAGACCCTAAGATGATATGAGCTCTAAGAGCCTGGAAAGCCCAATTTCAATCAAAGAGAACTGATCAGTCAATCATTTTGTCCACTTACTGTACAAGAGGTTGGTGCTGTTACACCGCGTGCTAAACAGTATGCTGGCCATGATTATCAGTCGTGTATGATACAAGTGGCGGAGATGTGCCGACAAAGCGCTTCGAGAACAAAACAGTGGACGATGATTGGTCCGGACATTGACAACAACCCTGCCTTGGGTTCTCTTGATCTCGGATCTGGATCTTCACTAGGGTACGGCAGCTGAGGTGCCAGAAGGACTCTATATTTGGAGTTACATAACGCTCAGCAGTGACTTGAGTGCTGCTTATAAGCTCCTTTGTATCGAAATACCATCCAGAGTTTCCGATCCAAGCCCTCAACCTGATTTCAGTTTATTATACCGAGGGACGGTAAGTCGAGTTCAAACAGCCCTCTGACTTTCCAACTTGCTAAGCAGTCCCGCCCTTCAGCTGCATTGATTCATGCCCAGAAGAATGCCATCGCTATCCCCCGCTCAAACGGTTGATTTCTCGTTCTCGTCAGGCTCGGAGGATGCCAGCACCGAGCAAACGCACAATCCGCAATCCCGTTCAGAATGGCTTGACCTTCCACAAGCTCCGATCCCTGCACGTCATCAGTGTGTTCCGCTGCCGCCCCAAACCCCGTGCATCAGGCACATCCTGATACATCCCACCCTCTTGGCCCCCGGCAGTGCTATGTCATTCGACTTCAGCGTCTCGCGGCGTGATTGGCACGCGTTTCGACATCAGATGCGTTCGATCTCGACGCGGAAAGAGCATGCGACGCATCCGGCCATGTCGTCGCTCACATTGCTTTCACCAGGTCTTCCGTGGGCGATAGTGGTTTTCCCACAAGCTCTCGGTGGTGCGGTAACGGTCGAAGATGTTTTATTTGCCATTCAGAGCAAGCTGGTGGAGGGACTCGAGCTTTTCAATGGAAGCGCACTATTCTCCCGCGGAGGTCGGGAGACAGGGAGGAAAATTGATATATTGGGAGATAGAACAAGATTCGGCGGTCTCTCATCCTCGATTGCGCGAGAGGACTGCTCTGCTCTCATGGTTCATTTCTTCTGACACTTTGTTATATGATATGCCATGTATCTTCCTGTTACATGGGTGTAGAACAACAGAAAAAACCCTTCCTTCAGAAAGATAACGAGCTTTATGTTTTCAAGTGGTCCTGAAAGGTTCGAACTCCACGTGAAGTTGGAAATATACAACGATCATTGTCGCTCCGATCACGTGCCTGGTCTGTGCGCATGTCTGATGTCATTGATGTCACATCGATCGCGGAAGGTACCGGGCCTTTAATACGCCATCCATCGATTTCACAGCATCCAAATCGATCCCTTCATCCACTACCACGACCACTATGGCTGACTGCTACGTACGGTCCATCCCGCGATGCGTGGCGATGTCGAATACTCATCTGTTTTCTGCAGTTCGACGTGACCATCGGCAAGGACACCACGCCTCAGCGCATCGTCTTCCGTCTCTACGACGACGTTGTCCCCATCACGGCCAACAACTTCCGCAAGCTCTGCCAGCACCTCGACAAGGACGGAAAGGAGACCAAGGCCGGCTACTCGGGCTCGATCTTCCACCGTGTCATCCCCAGCTTCATGCTCCAGGGTGGTGACTTCACGCGTCACAACGGTACCGGTGGTGTCTCCATCTATGGCGAGAAGTTCAAGGGTGCGCTGGCGCGTTTCTTCGACTGAAAGCACGCGTGCTGACTTCGTTCCGTCTTCCTCCTTGCGTGCAGATGAGAACTTCCGCCTCAAGCACGACAAGCCCTTCCTCCTGTCCATGGCCAACGCTGGACCCAACACCAACGGCTCCCAGTTCTTTATCACCACTGTTGTCACCTCGTGGCTCGATGGAAAGCATGTTGTCTTCGGTAGGCCTCTTTCCGTCTCGTTTCGGCCACAGCTGATCAGAGCGTGCAGGTGAGGTCATCCAGGGCTCGGACATCGTGAAGAAGATCGAAGGCTACGGATCTCAGAGCGGAAAGACCTCGCAGCAGATCTCCATCGTCGGCTCCGGAATCGTTGAGTAGACTTGTAATCCTATAACGGACTTGTAGCACAAGAGAAAACGAAATCAAGTTGTAGTTGGTACCAGCGTTGATACGTGTCTTGTTCTATTGCACGCGATTCTCCCTTCGCACTGAATTGGAGGGCACGACGACGGACGACGAGTGGGGAAGAAGCCCCTATTGAATTCGATTAACGTTGCAAAAGCCTCGCAATCGCCGCCATCGATGGACTCATGTCCATCCGGGGATATCATCGAACGTTCGACCACGAATTTACCATGTTTCGCTGCGCTGATCGTTGAATAATTGATTGCTGTCTCGTGCGAGAAGCGGACCAATATTAACTGGACGCCTCCTTCGAAATACCTTTCTCGGTACCGCGGCCGCCATGAAACCTCATAATTATTCTCTCTGTGAAAAACAGATGTGGTTGGCATTGGTTTTCTGAGCACATCAATCGGAATCGTTGAAATTCACAGCAAACTTCGATGCTGACAAATGGGAATTAGCTCATACAAATTACACTGCCGAAGCCGCTCACCATCCACTTCCCCAGACTGGCGATTGACGATTCTGCGGTCCGCTCTCGTCCAGTAATCTTCTCCGCTCAGCACGCCCTCTTGCCAATCCACGATATAGTCCGAGACTGAGACCAGCACGATGCGGCAGTCGTCCTCGAAGACCCGTCTTTCTTCAGGGAGCAACGGAGTCGATGACACGACGCGATAGGTGCTGACGATGACGAGCGCTTCCAGTGAGGTGAAGCAGGACACAATATCCGGGAGCATGCGGATGACGGTCGTCACGCTGAAGGCGAGATGCGTGAGGTTGGGCAGGAGCGTTTCACTCTCGACGAGGAGCGGATGAGAGTCCGATGTGCCGAAGTTCCGCCCGATGTTGAACAGTTCAAGGTGGGTGAGCAAGGGGAAGGTGATTCCTGTTGATGGTAATGAAGCCAAACTGGCCGAGAAGAGATTGAGATACGTGCCGGTGGAGAAATCGAATACCTCGAGACCGCAGTGCAACCGCCGCAGGGAGGGCGAGAGGTCGAACACCTCTGGCTTCGATCCAGAGAAAAAGAGGTTCTTCACTCCAGCGCACGTCCGCATCACAAGCTCGACCGTATCTTGTCTCTCCCCGATGAGCAGCACGTTCGTCACGACTATCTCCAGAGCGCCGGGATAGGCCTCGGATGCGCGTTGGATCGTGTCGAGCTCGCACGAGGGAAGTTTGTTGTCGAATCCATCGTTGAATATGATCGTGCGAAAGAGGCAGGGTTCCAACCTTGTCACTTGAAGATGAATGATCGACCACATCGAGGGGGAAAGGGACCGACCAGGTCCTCACACGACGACAGACCGGGAGCACGTGGAGAATTCGTTCCGGACTTGCGGATTCGAGGGCGTAAAGCTCAAATATATATCGTTCCAACTCGGGTGGGAGTATGGGAGTGAGATCGCTGGCGGGCTTGATATTCTGGCTGAAGGGCCACTTCATTTCTTGGGATTCGGGATGCGAAAGTTGTGGGGTAACGACCGGTCTGCCTGTGATCCGATCGGGGGATCTTGAGCAATTGGATCAGGTCGGTCCGGAGAATCCGAATAGGCTGCCACGATCCTCTCTCGTCATCAGTTCTCTCACTGTCACCACTTCCTCATTCTCCAAGAAATTTCCCTTATCGTGCAATATGTCGGCAAGAAAATCTTTCTTCCCTCAGAACTCTGCCTCGTCTTCTGTCCCACCACCTGCGCTTTTCGTTCCTGATCAGTCAAACCCACTACACAGCTCTAGCAACGGCTCTTTCACCGCCCCTTTTGACATCCCCAATCTTCTCAAGCCTCAACGATCTCAACAACATGCCTCACAGGGACAGCCGCCGTCTCGACGCCAATCCATGAATGCTTCCATCCGGCCATCGACCGGCACTCCTCATGCTCAAGGTCCCACCCACTCTCGTGTCCTCGACGCCCTCAACGCTGCGGGTCTCATCACGCGGCCCGGAACTTCTGACCCGCATAAACGGTCGAAAAACTTCGCGACCCACCGTCTTCAATCTCACGGGCCCTCTGGCGCGACAGGTGGTACTCCCAATGTGATCGCCGCCCCATCGCCGCGCATGCCAGCGTCAGCTCTCTTTCGCGAACCGACGGCTTCTCCTGCTGGTGCCTTCAAGCCTTCTGCCCCCATACCTGTGTCTCAAGCCGTGTCAATGACGCCGACAGGCGAGCAGCCCCAAGACGAGGCGCATATATTCGGCTTCAATGCTGCGCAAGAGCACCCTGATGCTTCGAACAATCGTCCCCTCTCTCGCTCTCTGCACTCTGCTCACGTTCACCCCCATCTTGAAGAGGATAGTGACGAGCCGCCGATGCTGCAGTCTCGATCTCCCTTCCTGCACCAAGACCGTGTCAATACCGGTGTCCGCGGGACAGGCCAGCAAGATGACGACGTTTATGAGATTCCCGAAGCCGAGGTGCGCGCTCGGGGATCTAACTTGAAACGCGGACGATCCGAGGTCGAGGACGGCGAGGGAGATGATCACGGGATGGGCTATGGAGCTGGGCAAGCGAAGCGGTTCAAGGCCCAGGAGCAGGTGTGTACATCATCCGCCATCGACCGACCGCAGAAACATGCTTGATCTTGACTGCAGCTGGAGGATTCGGGGTACGAACGGATGGCATTGCCCGACCCCACTCATCCACGACAAGATGTCGAGCACCACCATCAGCTTCAGCATCACCACGATGGCCGTCCGCAGCGTGTTCCCCCGTCGACTTATGTTAGCTACTCCGGTCGTCCTTATGACTCTATCCAGCCCATCTCGCCTTCTCACCAAGAACAGGCTTGCGGTTCAGACCCCGACTCTCATGCGGAACGCGAGCGACCCGAAGCGTCGCCTCTGCTCAAGCTCCTGCGCGTTGAACAAGTTGATCTCCTCTCCGCTGCTCGAGTGGATAAGTATATCCAGTCGACTGAGAAGTGGAAGAATTGCACCCGGGAGGAGTGGATTGCAGGAGCAGATGGTACTCCACTTTCACCTCTTGTATCGTAACACCGACGCTGTGCAGAGCTCATGAGGATGTACACCAAGATCTTCGACTTCGTGAGTCATTTCTGGTAATCTTGGCTATGTCTCTGACAGACACTGCTAGGCCAAAGCTCACATGACGTGTGTATCTTCTACATGTTCTCGGTCTTGCCCTCTCTCATCTGTCTCGCAGCGACAAGTTCCAGATGTTCACTCAATGCGACGACACGCTCAAAGCACACAACGAGGTTTTGAAAGAACGTGATACGTTGCTGGGCGATGTGCGGGACCAGCTTGTCGCGGAGGGTGGAAACGTACTGGCCAAGTGATTCATTCAATCGTCTTCCTGTGCGACGCTGTGTCTTCTGTTCGGGGCCCGGTGGACTTCTGAACTTACAATAACCTTCCGTATACTGCACGTTTCTTGCTGTTGTGTGATACTCCACGGGTCTGAGCACCGCATGTACAACTGCTGTATCCGCACAAGCTGTGTAATTGTGTGCTAGCTATGTCGAATGCCGTTGCGTTGTGTGCCTGACCGGGCGTCCGGTGTACTTATACCCTCAGCCACTTAGAGTCACCATACCACATGGGTTCCGACTGCAAGACAGTGATCGATTTCTTGAGCGAGGACAAGGCAAGAACGGGCTTACTAACAGCACTGACGTGATCACAACATTGACTCTTTGACAGCTTCCTTTCGACAATGAGGACCGCGTCCTCACTCGGGCACAGAACCGCGTCTCCATCGAGCATACGTTCGGCTGCGTTCGGAATGCCCGCTTTATCATCGACCCCAACCTCGACATCCCCCGCTCGCTGCGTGTGCCGTTTGGGCCTTCGTATCGGGCATACCTCTGGGACGAGCCGGAGCTCGACCCGAACCTCTCTGTGAATGTCTGGGGCCAGATATCCGCGGACATCGATGTGCGGCCGCGTCTGCCTCCTCCAGCCGACGAGATCGCTCTAGGTGGTACGGACGGGGACGGCGCGGGTACGTCCCTCGACGTAGACGCGGACGGCAAACCCCATAGTCCGTTCATGGCGCGCGCAGTGGCCCGGGCACGCGAGCGACGGCTTGAGAAGAGGCGCCTCGCGCGACTGGTGCACATCGAAGCGAAGACGCGCACGGGCGATATTGAGCTGCACGTGGTGCGTGGCGGTCCCTCTCGAACACCTCGCTCGCAGTGGTGCAGAAGCACATACAGTCTACTGACGCGCCTATGCAGCATTCTGGCGCTGGCGGGCCCATATCGCTCACTGCAGCGTCCGTCATGGGGAACATCCGCATCTTCCTATCGCACCCGGTACAGGGCCAGCTCGTCGTCCGGGCGCCCATCTTGGGCCGCCACCGCGTCACGCTGTCACCCCGCATACAAGCAACGTGCGGCGCTCCGCTGCACGAGGCTGGGCGCACGACGCACTGGCTTGTTGGGGACACCGCGAGCAGAGTTGTACAGGACGGCGAGGGGGACCGGATCACCGTGGAGGCTTCCCTGGGCTCGGTCTGGATCGGGTACGTGGATGAGACTCCGTCGGCAACGGCGGGGAGTGGAGACGGTTCGCGCACCTCGAGGTCTCAATGCTTTTGGATGAAGGCTTGTCTCGTGCTGCTCGCTCTTGCTTGGGTGGCCTGGTGATTTGCGCTGTTCCAAACATTGGAGTACTTTCTCTGATTACTTGGACCCGGGAATGCATCCGTCGCAAGTCGGACTGTGCGTCATATGTGGCCAGGTCGTACTAAGGCCTTTGGATCTCTGCTGCCTAGACAAATACCCCGTATTTTTCTATTTGTGATAATTTGAAATCGATTCACTGCTCTAGTTATCTATGGCGATGAAGAAAACCGGTGCATGGGCTAGCTCTCTAACTTGGACTCTTCAGTGATGTTGTAAGTATACATAGGCGATCAGTTCAATGAGTACCTACTGGCAACCGGGTCCCCAATAAAGCCATGAAGCATTCAAGATTCTCCGCGGTTCATCAAACACAGGACGATAGGACGACAGTCCAGAGCTCAAACATGATCCATGAACGAGCGCTGTGTGTATGCCGGCCCCCTTGAATGGCTTGAATGAGGGCAGATCGAGGTCAAGTCACCTTTTGGTCGCAGGTCGAGAGCCCCAGCTCCGCGTCGGTCTGCTGAGTGCGCAGGATGTAGACTCCGCTCTCGAAGCTCGGCATGTTCGTGGAGACCGCCGTGTTGGTATTGCCTTCGACGCTGCTGCCGTAGTGCGGACCGCCCGAGCCTCCGGCGCTGCCGCTAATCTTGTTTCCAAATGCGCTGCCGTTGTTCGCGCCAACGCTGCGTTTGTTCAGATGATAGCAGTCCTGAAAAAGCATTTTAGCTGACATTTGGGGTGCTGTAGTCGGGGAAAATCACGGCAGAAAAAAAACCGCGCCGTATTGCTGGCTCGCACGTCAGTTCGATATTGCGGAAATTGAAAAGTCCGGAGACTCACGGGGACGGCCCCGAGCAGTATCAGGCCAATCAGTGCGACGCTGGATGCGAAGGGATTTAAGCGGCTTCTGAGGAAGACTCCGAAGAGTACATAAGGCGTGCCAGTCAAGGCGTTGGTCTCGGCGGTCGATTGGACGATAGGCATGATCACGTTGTGGGATTTGCGGAACTGCGAGTTGCTCACGGGTGAGGAGCCACAGTCATACATTAGATCTACCGGATACGGCAGAGATGCTCCCAGAAGCAACGCACAGTCTAGCAGAAGACGACTGCAATGGCAATATCAGCCACCGCACCGCCGGAGAGCCACATCTAATCAAAGTATGAACGAGCGACAGCAGTTAAGATGTGATTGTTGTCAAGCACCGACCGCTCGACAACCTCCGTGCTGATGAGCGGGAGCCAGCCGAGCGCGTGGGCCTGCAACCATCAGGCATCTCGTGCGACCGAAGAGCAAGCGAGAAGCACCGCCGCGACGCACTGTATGAGCGACACGATACTGATCAGGATAGGGGGGATCATGCTCTTGCGGAAGACGTATATGCGGCCAGCCTCGGCCAGCAGTATAAGAGTTGCACAATGAGCGAGATGCGGTCGTCGAGCATCGGCACGTCCCAGGAGTCGAGGAACGTGTCGTTGCGCTGGATCATGTTGGCGGATCCAAAAACGAACCAGTGGGACGCGTCCGCCGTGACCATGGCTGTCTGGAGGATGCCGAGGAAGGACAACTGCCGACTGGGTGCGCCGTGAGCATATTCGACCAGAGAAGACAAAGAAGACCACGGGTTACCGGGGGTTTTTAGGCCGCGCGGATTGTTCAAGCAGGAGGTGAAGTATACGTCTTCGGTCGTGTAATGCTACTGAGGCTTGAGCAACCGGCGGGGATCGAGCACAGGCCATTCACAAACTTGAACGAGAGTGATGCCCATGAATCCCCAGGTGAGGCACATATCTATAATCTGAGTTCGAAATGAGCTTGAAATGCGTGTTGAAGCACATCAAACTCGCTTACCATCGGCCCTGTGCTGCAGGAAGAGAAGTCGAAGACAATCCCGGGGCAAGAGGTGTCAGACGTACACCATGGCAATCTCACGAGAAACCTTGGACGAGTCCATGTCGAGCAGTGCTGGACAGTGGGTAGAACGTATCGCAGGGAACTTGAGCCTCAGTGTCACAGCACCAAAACAACGCATCGTACACCTAATGCAAGAGAGTCGTTCCTTCCCAAAATAATATTACACGGCAGAAGTGTGATGGTGGGAGCGTGAAGCCCTGATTGTATTCGGTTTCGAGCTCTTCAAGCCACCGCAACGACGCCGAGGAATCAATAAGGAGATTATGTAAGTTATCCCGCCGCAGATCTCTTCTCGGGCAAAGCGCGATAAGATACAAATCATCTTCTTGTGGCACATCACTGCACCTTAGGTGACCAAACACCGCCGCCATCATGCTGTTTTTACCCCGCTGGACTTGTGCCACTTGCTGCTATGAGATTCATACCCAATCAGGAAGGAGGGTGAGGGGTGAGTGCAGGGGGCACAGTGCATGGTGACTCGCTTGACTTCCTGGTTCTTTCTCATCATTCACGTGACTATGGCAGATTATAGGCGTGGCACGGGTGTATTACGGAATTTTTATGTGTCTGTTGGGTTACTTCCCACTACACTGCGGAGGGGGGAGTAGTTTCTTTTTCCACGGAAAATACGCGCCAATCTAGAATTCCAATTTTCATCGTTCTGTTTCAAGACAAAAAAAAGATATTGAAAATAGATGTTGATTTGCAGCTCCATTTTTACCACAAACAGACATCTATTCCCCACAGTGCCAAAAACAGAGCTGTTAATAGATCATTTTTCTTAATCGATTGCACTATGAATACACATTTTGGACCACTTCTACCCTATTTTATGGAGGGGGAAAGTAAATTTGCGCTCAAATTTACTCTATTTTGGGCCTTGCTACCCCCAAGTGTCTGAGGGCCAGAGGTGGTGGTTCGAGCATTGCAGTGCAAGTGCTGTACATAGCACATGTTCAAGGTGTGCATGGGATGGTGCATGGCAAGAATGATATGATCATTGATGGACAGACCACTGATCACACGGCTCTTGACGTTCGTCTCCAAAACGAGGACTTGAGCCCCACAGGCCATGACACATGTCCTGAGTCGCACTGGAGAGTTCCGCGAAACAACATGTGCACGCCAAAATCGATCAAATTGATGTTTTGCATTGACCCTGTATTTTCCCAGGTTCCCTCTTGTTAGGCAACAAAACGTGGTCCTCCACCCCGTCCTCCGTTCTCCCAAGTCCTGTCCAAAACGCTGCTGGCCCTTTGGCCTCGATCCTGGTGTCCTGGTGAATATCTAATCAGCGCTAATTAGATGTCCTGCATGCGGCCTTCAGATGTGAACCGAGAAGAAGTCAATACTCATTCTAGCGAGATGTTAGAAGCAGAAGGGTCTTGCGCCCGGTTTGCCGGCGTTAAGCCGTTCCATAAAGGAGAAGCGAGGGAAAGAAAGGCTTTGAAACACTACAGGCTTCGGAAAGGAGGCGATATCGAGGCCACGCGCCCTGAGTGAGCTTTTTACTTTTCCGACAGAACAGAGCCGAGGAATTGGCGAGATTTAATAAACGGCGAATCATTTCCACGCATGCCTTTCTTTTCGCGGACTGATCCGGAGCAGCTTGAAGGAGAGCAGCTCCTGGAAGCACGCAACATAGGCAGAGGCCCCCGGATACTCCGCACAAGGCCAGCAAGAGGCTGATTTGTACTGCCAAATCGCCTGTCTGGCCGTTGATTTGTGCTATGTCCGGACTGAGGTTCACCTATATTTGGATAATTTCGATGCTTTTTGTAGTGTTATGAACAAGCTTCCGTCCAATACTTCCCTCTCTCAGTCTGAGGCGCGTTCCGTAGGATCTTACTTGTCACAGTAGGCGAATGACATGATTTTTACTCTTCTCGGGGATCAAAGGATAAGGGTGGACGCGAAAAAATGTGAGCTCTGCGCTCGAGAGTTGAACTATGCCAGCCTGAGATCTCGCGTCTTGCGCCTGATTTGCGCTGTTTTCCACACTGAGATGTGGCCATTTTCGGGCCTCGATTTGCGCTATCCCGGACTGAGTCAATAGTTAGTAGCCGGGGGACTACAGGCGGACGAGGTTTTAACCGACGTGACAAATTGTCATCACGAGCGAATGATACAGACTGAGAAAATGACGAGTGTGCATCTGGAACAAACAACGTCACTGAGACCATATTCCCGTACGACGATGACGAGCCGGTATAACTCCACTTTCCGAAGTGGCAGGATGCCAAGGTAGCGAGTGAGGCTCGCGCGAGTCGGGACCCCCTGCTCGAGTCATCCTCCTCTCCATGAGTCAATCCTACTTGTGGAATGCAGGGCAGCGGCATTACAACACCTTCTATCGGTATCATGGAAGAATTGCTTCCTTTTATAGACCAGAGAACACGATAACCTGAACGGCCCAAACGAAGATCTCGCGTCAGATCAGATTCGTTCCACCTACATATAAAATGCTCAGCTATTTACCTTGATCCCCCGCGAATCCAGGAGTCTCACTTGCGCCCTCTGTGCATTTTACACAGTCACACACTGTCTTCGCTCTGAGATCCTCCCCGAACTATGTTCTGGTCCTCTAGCAAAGGCAAGACCCGAGCGCGGGTTTCGGCACCCAGAATGCCCTGCGAACTGGAACGGTACATTGTCGAGATGTATGCACTCGAATGCGCCGGCCCGGAGCGGATCCTACAGCTACTTCCCGTTTGCCATCGGGTGCGAGTCTGGTACCCTCATTCTATTCTATCATAAAGCCTTTGAGATGATCTGACCGATGCTGACCAGGCTCGAGCCGGCACTCTACCGCACACTCATATTCAACGACGGATGCGATGAGCAGAGACTCCCCACCTGCGAGATAAATGCGATCAAGCGTCTGTCTTCTGCCTATCCAGGCGCCCTCCAGAACATTGTAAAGAATATCATGCTGATCGGAGAAAGGCGGGATACTGTGGAGTACGTGCTGAGGAGTTGCAATGGGGCCGAGAATGTGTTCCTCGCTGGATGCGCCACTCGTGGGCTTGATCTTTCGCTAATTTCGCCGTCCCTCCGACATTTGCATTGTACTGTGGAGACCTTAGAACTGCTCAATTGGAAACCTGAAGGTGCGCTTGAACATGCTCGTTGTGGATCCTCGTCACGGCCCACGATCAGGGTTCACTTTCCCGGCTCTCACTCATCTCGAGCTCTTCAACGTCGACGACCATTCCCACAGACGCGTACCTCAAGCTCTTCTTCATCTGCTGGGACGAAAGCACTTTCCATATCTGGCACATCTGGCGATAAGCGCAACATCTGTAATCCGCTACCTGCCGGAGGTTATTCCGCACTTGCAAAACCTGGAGAGCGTCATCATCGTGAGCGCTTACCGCATTGTCTCTTCGAGCCCTCTTCCAGAGAGCGACCGCCGAATACTAATGGAGGACCAGAGACTAGTTCTGGTCTCTGTTCCGGATTATATCGAAGACTGGCAAGATGGGGTGTTGAGTGCCAACGACTTCTGGGCAAGGGCAGCACGGAGAATCGCAAACCGATTCTCTGGCGCAGTTGATGGTGAGTCGGTTCACGCATGACTTTGCGACGCATGGATTGAGAAGTTTATGCCAGCCAGTCGCTATGCCGTGAATTTCAACGATACGGATTGATGTGATTCTCACGCATGAAACGATAATGTACACTATTTCTCTGTAGAATCTTCCGGCCATATCGCATGTGGTTTCATCAAAGCTATTCCGGGGGAAGATATACTGGGATTCCTCTGGCGCTGCTGTACATGGAACTCCACTTTTCACAGCTCTGTATCTTGTTGTCCTTACATTTACCTGGATTCCGGAGATTCTTGCCCGGGCATCTCAAGTATCCAAAGTGAAATCCTACGCGCGTTTTTCCCAGATGTAGGTACCGTAAAGGAAGTCCTGATAAGTTGATTTAATTTTCACATCAGCCCATGACCGCCCCGATCGCGGTTGTCACTCCCTCAGTTGAATCGGGGCATGTGAGAAAAATAAACGCCCGAAGCTTGATCGGTGCCGAATATCACACAAAGCCATTGTCATGTCGTAATGATGAGAAGCGTAAGGTGGTCGTGTGTGTGGAGGCTCGGAGCATCACGCTTTTAAGCGAGACTTGGAAATCATGTCGCATTGATAGAATGATGATCGGTCTCACGCTAGAGATGGACCCGGAGTCGTAACACTGCGGGGGGACTTAATTTTTTTCTGTGGAAAATGCGTGACAATCTAGAAGTCCAATTTTCACTGTTATGTTTTCAGACAAAAAATATATATTGAAAATAGACGTCGATTTACAGCTCGATTTTTACCATGAATAGACATCTATTCCTCCCGAAAACAGAACTGTAGATAGATCATCTTTTCTTTGATCGATTCCCACTGGGAATAGACGTCGATTTTCACTGAAAATAGAGACAAAGAAAAGATGATCTTCTTTCACTGAAAACAGATTAAAACCACTGGAAGAATCTGTTGATTCCGGCCCCAATTTGGATCCCTAGCCTTGCAAAAGGCTACTGGATGCTACTCACAACATGTTGGAATCATGCTGCAGGACTTGTGATGTGAATTGGGGCCGGAATCAACAGATTCTTCCAGTGGTTTTAATCTGTTTTCAGTGAAAGAAGATCATCTTTTCTTTGTCTCTATTTTCAGTGAAAATCGACGTCTATTCCCAGTGGGAATCGATCAAAGAAAAGATGATCTATTTACAGTTCTGTTTTCGGGAGGAATAGATGTCTATTCATGGTAAAAATCGAGCTGTAAATCGACGTCTATTTTCAATATATATTTTTTGTCTGAAAACATAACAGTGAAAATTGGACTTCTAGATTGTCACGCATTTTCCACAGAAAAAAATTAAGTCCCCCTGCAGTGTAATCACTGCATGAGTAAAGCATAGCATTCATAAGATAGGCGTCAGTCACTCATGGTGAGCGTGCACGTGACTTTTGTGATGCAATCTCGAAGCTCATTCTCCATCCTCAACAGTGACTTGTCCTTGTATCTACAACCACAGCTCTCTTCTGCGGCCTTAAAGCAAGGGTTCTCTGGTTTTATTTTTTCCAAAAAGGCCTCTCACATGATGTAGTACGAACAAAAAAGTTCCCCATTTGTAGCACCTTAGAATTGAATGTCTGAGCGTCTTTCACATTTTCTGTTTTTGAGCGACCAGGAATTTGCTGCGTGACACGTCACATAAGCATGACACATGAAATTTTGATTGCTTGTGTCATCACCTCTGAGGCTCCAATGGCAAATGCACTCATGAGTTGCAATGCCTGCTTTGAAGTGACAGAAGTGTGATGATCAACCCAAAAAACAAAGTCGATAAGAAGAGTGAATTCCAAGACTGGGGAATACATGGCAATAGCTACAGTATTTATACCAGTCCCAGTATGAGTCATATCTACATCAAACAAGTTATGAGACTATGTACCGTGTGGAGCATTGGTCATGGGTTGTAGTAGAACCTTCTGGAGCACATGTTGTGCAGCCTCTGTACAGATAACCCCTCTGAACCCCTGACCCAGACCATGTGGTGCCGTGATCCACAATAAGATAACCCAATGTTGAGATTAGATAAGATTGTTGATAGAATGATGAAAAAGTGATTGAATTATAACATTACCCCCTCTCTAGGGTTGATGTCCTCATCGACTGAGCCAATGGGCATGAAGACATTTTTGTTAGGGTCAAAGAGTTGTTGGGGATATGGAAACTGCTTGTCTTTGGGTTTGTAGCAATGGATGAGGTAGTCCCAATGTCCAGCTTCAAGTGTTGGCAGGAGGTGAATGTGTGTGTCTGGGTTGGATTGTTTCCTTTGCCAAGCCTTCAGGACCTTCTTCACATGGGTAAGATGACGTGATGGTTCCCAAGTATTCTTGCTATGCGGCCATCCCTTCCATTTGACCAAATACTGCTTTCCTTGGCTGATGTTTCGCTCTTTCACAATCTCTTCAACTTCCCACTCATCTGCTCCTCTGATCATCTTGGCTATGGGTCTCTTCTCTCAACAATGGGGGGTGGTTCATGATAAGGTGTGAACAGTGACTTGTTGAACACTGGGTGTCTCCGGTCTGTATCTGGCAAATCCAACTTCCATGCAGCTGCTCCAACCTTCTCCAGAATCTTGTAGGGTCCCAGTCGTTTGTTGCTCATCTTCTTTGATGGTCTATCCATCTCAATTTTATCCCCTTCCACGTACACCTTCATCCCAACCTTCAACTCCAGAATTTCTTTTCTTTGTTTATTGTAGTATTTTTTCATTTTTTCATTTGCTTTTTCTAGTGCTGTTTTTGCTTCGTCTTGTATTGGTTTGATTCTTTTTACAAATTCTTCTGCTGACTTGTTTCTCAATTCCATCCGCTGCTCTACTCCCTTCCATGGGTGTTATCCATGATTTATATAGAATGGCGGCACTTTGGTAGACATGTACATTTTGTTGTTGTATGCAAACTCTGCCATTCCCTGCCATTCCAACCAATCTGTCTGATGGTAATTGACATAGATGCGGAGATACTGCTTGATCTGTGACAATCAACCCAAAAACAAAGTCGAAAAGAGAAGTGAATTCGAAGACTGGAGAATACAACCAAATAGCTACAGTATTTATATCCAAACCCAGTCTGAGTCATATCTACAACTAATGAGTCATAAGGCTATGTACCGCATGGAGCACTGGTCATGGGTTGTGGTAGAACCTTCTGGAGCATATGCCACGCAGCCTTGAATTGATAAGAAAAATCCTTAGACCCCTAGCCCAGACCATCAGATGCGGCAATCCACGATAAGATAAGCCGTGCCAAGATAAGATGAGATCAACAAAGATAAGATGAAAAAGTGGCCGAACTATGACATTACCCCCTCTCTAGGGTTGATGTCCTCATCAACTGGGCCAATGGGTGTGAAGACATTTTCATAAGGGTCAAAGAGTTGTTGTTGGGGATATGAAAGGCGCTCATCTTTGAATTTGTAGCAATGGATGAGATAGTCCCAATGTCTGGCTTTGAGCATTGGCAGGAGGCGAATGTGTGTGTCTGGGTTGGATTGTTTCCTCTGCCAATCTCTCAGGACCTTCTTTGCGTGGATAAGATGACGTGATGGTTCCCAGGTATTTTTGCTATGCGGCCATCCCTTCCATTTGACCAAGTACTGCTTCCTCAGCCAACGTTCCATTCCTTCACAAATTCTGCGATTTCCCACTCTTCTGCTCCTCCAATCATTTTGGTTACAGGTCTGTTCTCTTGGCAATGGGGGGGTGGTGCGTGATAGGGTGTCAACAGTGACTCGTTGAACACCGGGTGTCTTTGGTCCGTGTCCGGCAAATCCAGCTTCCAGGCGGTGAAATGCTGAGGGCGCGCTCACAGGTGAATCTACTATGAAAGTAAACCCAAATATAAACACGTTCACACTCCTCGTAATCAGCTTCTCAATGTGTGAAAGATGCGAGGGCTTCGGGGTGGACAGAACACCAGTATCACAACTCTCACAGATAAGCCGAGGACAGCTTAGATCTGTGTTCCCGGTGAAATGCTGAGGGCGTGCTCAAAAGTGAATCTACTATGAAAGTAAACCCAAATATAAACACGTTCACACTCCTCGTAATCAGCTTCTCAATGTGTGAAAGATGCGAGGGCTTCGGGGTGGACAGAACACCAGTATCACAACTCTCAATAGACGCAGATCCAATAGTCGCGGAAGACGAAGTCGACGACAAGAATTTATATATAGTGAACAATGGTGTCTCAACCAATATCTTCTATACGAATCACAACCAACACCAATCCAATCACAACCAACAATATAACAAGTCAGAACTTAATACGAAGTATTAAGATCCCTTGTAGCGACAGCGTCTAGATGGTGACGCAAAGCCCAAATACCGAGTCGACGCACTGCCAACCAATACAACCAATATACTGAGTCGACGCACTGCCAACTAGTAGAATCAAAATGTCGAGTCGACGCACTGCCAACTAGTAAACCAAAATGCCGCGTCAATGCACTACCAACTAACAGCCAATATCCAATGTCCAAAACAACCTGAGCACAACTAGTCGACGCACTGCCAAGCTAGAGGTGTGGAAAACGATCTCAACAAAGCCCAAAGGCGACGACACTAAGTGCCGCGACTAAACCAGAAGCGGTGAATCCGACTTTCTGATATCTCAACTCAAAACTCAAATCACAGTAGCTACAAGTGCTCTGGGGAGCAACTCGTCGCGACCGGGCAGGGGTGGCAGAACTTCTTAGGGTGGAATCACGCGGCACGCAAATTGTACAAAACAATCTGAAATGAGGGTGATTCACAGTCCAGGGGAAAGCTCCCTAATACAAAGAAACGACGTGCTACTTATACTGTCTACGACGATGCTTAGTAAAGTCCTGTACAACTGCATAGTAGCTACGCTATCTAAGATCGGTTGCCTTTTAGGGTAATGAAAAGTTCAACGATCGGACAGGTCCTGAGTGATCAGGACCCCGCCCCATAGTCCATATGGTACTTTTGATGTGGGTCAACTCACCGCGTCATACTTTTGGAATACAACGTGCTGGATTGGCCAATGGGTATGTCTTGGCAGGTGAGTCCAACGTGGGTGCCCCAAGAAGCCGTATGGTCCTAGGCACACCAGACGTTCCTCACATGGTTCGGTTCACGGATCTAGCCCGTGTCGATTTTAGCGTGTTTGGGTATGGGCGCGACTCGCCATGACACTTTGGAAGTGTCACCGTGACGCGTCCACAATGTCCCGTGATCGAATGGATCCTGACATGTGACAAGTTGTCGTTGTGGCATGATCTGAGGAAATGTCCAACCCAAAAACCGGGAGTTGCCGCGACCAGATTGGTTCAATCTCGTAACGCCAAGTCCTGTCCAGTAGTAGTTGTATTATTGAGAACGTTGCACATTGC